ATGAATGCACTTTTAATGTCAGATTTTTAACCGACTGTGCCAGAAGGAGGGTTTTGTTTTTGAGAGTATGTACGGATAGTTGTAAGCCCTTGTTTAAAAAGTACAATATTCTGCCATTACCGTGTACATTAGAGAATTATGCCTATTTGTACATAAACGCATGTAAAAGAGAAACTCGTACATAAACGCTGTAAAAGTACCTGTATATAGTATTAAAGATTTACCTCTGACCATGTTTTAAAAGGGGGTACACAATGTTAAAAAATGCTATTACAATATAAATTAAAACATGTCAAATAAAATAAATGTTAAATATTGGTAAATATATTCATTTTAATGATTAATTAATGTTTAAAATTACTTTACCAACAATAAAATTCTAATAGTCATGACATTTAATTAATTTGATAAATATATCATTATATTATTAATTTGACATTTTATCTCTTGAACTGACATCTTCTTCTTTTAAATCCTAATGCATGAGAACTTCTTTGTTGTTGCTGTCTTTATTTTATAGATTAATGTAACTAAAATAATAACATTGTGCAGTTAAAATTAAATACTTGCAGACCATATATAATGGTAGAATGTAAAGAGGCCATGATAGTGTTAAGATCATACGTGTCTATGATCTTAATGTAATGTAAAGAATGTAGGTTTACATCAGTAAACTGGCAAATAAACGGATTTGATTTGATTTGTGGTGATCGCAGTGAGATTTAGCACTGGTTTGATTATATCTGACTAATTATTGTAGATTTTGACACTGAGAAATGTTTTTATTTATTTATTTATATTTGCTTTTTTTCGTCTTGTCTTGTACTGGTGGTCACGTAGTATGGGTCGTTTCCTAAGGAGTCAAATCTCGGAGGGTCCGGGGTCGCGTTACCCAAATCTCCGTCATGTGATTAGAGAGGCCAGTAGAACAGGGACACACTGGCCATATTAATAATTTTATCTCACTCGCAATTATTTGATTAGATAGCAGATATTGTGTTTTGAGTACAAGTTTACTAATATGATTAAAGAAGACTAAAGAATTTGTTTATTTGGTTGAAGGCGGTTATCCTAGGAACTATAAGTTCGAATTGAAAAATTATTTTTGTGCTGTATAGCCTACTTATCGAGGAAGGCTACGACATCACGCTATGACAAATAGCAATGGAGCATTGATGAAAAATGTTGCGAAACCGGGAAAAATTATTCCTTTTGAGAGACACGCACGAAACTGCACGGGAACTTGTTCGAAGAAAAATATGTCGGTCATTGATTTTCTGATAGGTTAAATTTTATAAATTTTAAATTTCATTCTCTTTTTTGGCGGTCGTATTTCGAAAGTTTTGAATGTCTTGCTTTTTTCCACAGACTATAGACTATAACATAAACTCTCCTTGTAGAGACTTTTGAATTTCATCAAAGCGATTACATACAAAAGGCTAAAATATTGTGGTGGAACGGACGAGTGGATCATAGTCAACGGTCAATGTTGGGAAGTTGTTTATATGTCACGGGTTGTGCTTGAAGACGGAGTAAACCTCGGTTTATCCGGGTTTACCGGTTTACTCAGAATCACATAGGGTATTTGGGTAATGTCCAACTAACAATTGAAATAAATTTTAATTATGGGTTTATCCATACTTACCTAGGTCTACCCAATGCTGGCTCTTTTTGTGTTATTCTATAGAAAAATACTTACCAAGACGTATATACCTATAAAATTATGTCGGTGCAGGACCACACGGCAATTTTCTATATATGGCTGAGATTGATGTATTAAAGAGAAGATGACGACTCAAATATGTATTTTTATTAGATAAACGCTACATCAATAGCCGCCTCCGTTGTAGCGATTGACCGCGTAGCACAAACTAAATGTAAACATGCTATTCTTTTTCTCTTTTTATTCTTCTGCTTAGTTACTTCTGATTAATCTTGTTTACATCAAACAAAAAGAAACAAAAGTATGGAATATTTTGAATTCGGTTAAAACTAAGCTATTTTTTGTAAATATATTGTGCTGAAATATATCAAAAACTTACTACAGCGCCATCTTGTGAAGAGTGCGCCAAAATTCTTAGTAGATGTAAATTCTACGTCACGCAAACTAAAGTTGTCAACGCATAGTATATACATATATTTACAAATTCCTAGCATAAACCGTATAATGACTATAGTGTGCCGTTTTATTAAAATGACATTACAGAAAGTTACATACAATAAAAATATTTACAACCTATTATTGAAAAAAAAAACCGATTACCTAAAAATGTATAGGTACTTACTTAAAATTTACAAACAGTCGATTTTAATTATTAAAATTTTCTTATAAAGTTCAGTCCACATCTCGCAATTAAATTTTTTTATTCTTTAATTATCCGCATCATGATAATCTTTGATAAAATAAACTCATCTTTGAAAATAAACTATAATTATATAGCAAATGACATGACTAGAATTTAAATACATTTTTGTCATTATGTCATGTGAATGATTTAAAAATCATTAGGTAGGTATGTCATTAAAATTTATATATTTTAACAATCAATATTTGATTGAGAAATCATTCTTGTCATTATAATAATGAATAATAATATATAATAATGACAAGAATTTTATAATATTTATAATATAGTTTATTTTCAAAGATTATTTTATTTTTGCAAGAAGAATTACCCCCCTCCTTCTGGCGCCAATGGTATTGCGAACTGATTCACACCAGGAACAGTAAAGTTTCTATCATAATTTCCTTGTGTAACTTCTCCAAAGAAAACAATAAGTTACAACATGTTTAATGTATAATGTTTATAGTAACTTACTATATTGTTTCAAAAACATTTAGTTCTTTGCACATAAAGGTGTTTGTTAAACACAACCGCTGAGTGCGCTGTTTTTGTTTTACTGTGTTGCCATTTCATAAACTATCGACTCGACAAGAAAGTTTATGAAGGTTTAATAATACCATTGATAAAAAAAGGAGAGAACGTCTGATGATCAAAATTTAAAAATTAATGATTAGTTTGTTAATGTGGGGTTGCCTGTTTCAAGCAGAAGCCGGTCTTAGTCGATGGTGTCATTATTCCATCTCCCGGAAGGAGGGCAAGGTCCTCCGCATACAATAAGTGGTTCTCGGAAACTTCGTTCCTAGGGCATACCCAAGACCCTTGTAGTAAACCTCACACCGTTTGGTTTTAGTCACAGAAATCGTAATATTACGATTTCTATGGTGTTGGTCGATTTGATTCCAACATGCCACTTCGCTGTGAACCGCGACGGCTTCAACGAAAAGAAAAACAGCTTTTTCTACCATCTCACTATTGTCTCGTCGAATATTTTGAATTAGATCTATCGATGATATTATAATCGATAATATCGAATTTTTAAACTCTACCAAAAACTCTCTCCCTTTCTTGTTGTAATTTGTTTATAACGAGAGAACGAGAGAGGAGTATATAAAAATTGAAAGATTACTAAATGGTCCTAAAGAATAATATGTCATAATAATTTAATTATTTTTTTACTGTTTTCATAACAATAAGATAATTGATAAGTATGACCTCGTGTTCAGCAATCGTAATCAAATTTAATATTAAATTGATAAATTATAATAATTAATTTGCCTATCTCTAATGCTGAACTAAATATTTTTGTAATTGAAACAAGTTTTCGTAGCAATTACTGTCTTTAACATCCCACCAAAAACATTTCATGTAAAATGTTGCCAAGACGAAACCATAGGGCTCACACTGTCAAAAAGTTATCAGATCTCATGTAGAGTCAAGTTTCTAACTCTACATGAGGTTCTAACTCTTCATGAAAATATGTGGCTTGGCTGATTCGCTATCATCATATGGGCGTAAGATGAAAAATTCATTCACTGTTCATTACTTTTCTTCTGTTATACATTAGTTGTTTGTGGGAATAATATACGTATAAACGTTTTAATAAAGACAGCTGGTTCAATTTTGGTAATTACCAGTTATACCACAGATATAAATTTGACAAAAACACTTTAAAAGGTTAAAATTACCAATTCAAACAGCTCTTGTTATTATTGCCGTGAGTATAAAGAAAGTGCAAAACGTTCTCAAAGGCAAACAGTCATGACCGTGAAAATTTACGAGTTGGCATGAGTCCAATAAGCTTTTCTAAGGTAATAAACACACCTAGTTGCACTACACACACAGTTTTGTTATTTCAGCACAAACAATGTCCCTGCTTGTTTAATTGTAAATTAGAGTAGGTTATTGATTTTTGTGGCATATTTATGTTCAAGTTATTATGCAATATCTAAGTTATATCCAATTATAAATGAAGCATTGTCTGTATGACATGTAACTCAACGGCGCAGGGCCTGTTTTGGTTTAGTGGTCCTTAACCGCTAAGTCGCTGGTCGTGGGTTAGAATTCCACCCAGGACAAATATTGTGTTTTGGGCACGATCGATTATAATTATAATGTATCTGTAATATATTTATAATAAATATGCATTTAGAAGTATAGATACGAGTATATTTATCAGCTATCTGGTTAAATATTTTATTATTCGGGGGGTTATACTTTCCCTTTTGGGTGGAAAGTTAAACAATGAAGAATATATTTTATTACAATTCATCATGATGTTTGTGCATGCTTCGGCACGAATGGGCCAGCTCGACCGGAGTGATACCACTGCCTCACAGAAAACCGGTGTTAAGCAATTCTTTCGTTACCTTTCACTGAGTGAGTGAGGTTACCGGAGCCCAAATCCCCCTGCCGCTGACTCGAGCGGGAAGCACTCCAAGGGCAGCAACGTACTTGCGACTTTTGAGTTGCAGGTGTTCATGGGCGGCGGTAGTTGCTTACCTTTAGGTGACCCGTCTACTCGTTTGCCCCCTTCTACCATAAAAAAAATGATCAGTGATACCAGTTTAAAGGTTAATTATTTCTGAAACCGTTTTCCATGTTGGAGTAAATAATGTGTGTATAATATGACTGATCTATCTTTCTTTCTTTTTGCAGCGAACATCGCGATCCTTACCACCGGGTACTCCATGGGATGGACGTCACCCGTGAATGTAATATTGGGCAACGTCACCACATCGCCCTTAGAAGATGTGGTGACAATAGATGAAGAGGCATGGATCGGCTCACTGCTCACGCTTGGTGCTATATTCGGTACGTTTTTTTTCGTTAGACTTTCTTCGCAATAAAAGATTGTAATACACATTATTACAATCTTTTATTTAAGTGTACTTTTATTTCAATTTTAGTTTGTATGGTCGGGTCAAATCCTGTAACTGAATTTTCAAATCCTAATTTTTTCATACACGTTTAGTTTGGATGCTAATACATGATTAATGAAATATATATTTTTAAAATACTTCTAATTTAGGATTTTATGTCCACTATAATCTGAAATATAAAACTACTACTAAACTACTGTTGGAATGAAGAAAGTAAATACGTTTTATTTTACACGACAAGGCAAACAACTACCACCTTTTCGTCAAATCAGTTGTAATCAGAAAAAGGTAGACATAGGTAACTACCTATGTCTACCTTTTTTCAAATCTATACTAATATTATAAAGCTGAAGAGTTTGTTTGTTTGAACGCGCTAATCTCAAGAACTACTGGTCCGATTTAAAAAATTCTTTCAGTGTTTGATAGCCCATTTATCGAGGAAGGCTATAGGCTATATATCATCACGCTAAGACCAATAGGAGCGGAGCACCAATGAAGAATGTTTCAAAAACGGAGAAAATTTATTACTATTGAGAGACGCAGACGAAGTTGTGCGGGTCAGCTAGTCAGTTATAATCAGAAAAAGGTGGACATAGGTAGTTACCTATGTAGTGGAGAAAGTTCTCCAAAATTGTATAAAAAGCTTGGTGTACAGCATCCCACACCAGCACAGTTATCACAACACGTAGAAGTGACTAACTAAATACCGAGAATATTTTAAAGTGGTAGGTTTTTTTTTTTAATTTTTATTTATTTGGATCGTCAACAAACGATACCCATGATAGGTTACCCATGTCCACCGTTTTCTCAAATCGGATGATTTCTACAATTGCCTGACTGCATCTATCGAGCACATTGTTATTGATCAATATCACAAATATTTTATTGCTGTCTTATCTTATCTAAACATATATTACAAATGTAGGAAATGGATGATAACATTCACAATCTTCTTAATTATATGGGACTGTGTTTTCTAGATCAAATACATTGATAATATTATCTGGTTTCATGAGTATGTAATAGTATCGGAAAAAACTCGAGAACAATGAATCTAGGTCAAACATGCAAATCTCGAATGCTAAGAATGATAAATTGACGACTAAAAATTTTTTTAATAGATAATTAAATACTTATTTAAAAAAACTAATAGTATTGATTTGTCACTTTGTATTATATTCATGTAAAATAACAAATCTCATCCTAAAACTAAATTAGGGAAGCACTAAATTGCAAGCATGGTTTTCATTTTCTTTAATATTTTTTTTATTATTATTATGTCTTATTTTTTATTTTATTTTTATTGTAGAATGTTACAAGTTTTACTTATGTTAGTCGTGATGAAAATTTGTAATTATTGTAGAAATAAAAATAAAATAAAACCTACCTACCACTTTAAACCTACCTCTCGTTATTCAGTAAGTCACTTCTACGTGTTGTCATAACTGTGCTGGTGTGGGATGCTGTACACCAAGCTTTTTAAACAATTTTGGAGAACATTCTCCCATTCCTTTTTTCTCATCAGCTCTCAAAGCATGATCGGGGGAGGGTTTTGTTGTCTCAAGCTTCGTCCGAACTCGTCCCAAACGTTCTCGATTGGATGAGATCCTGGCTAAAGGTTTTACCGGCCGACCCGGATTCATTGCTCTTCAATTTGGCAATATGCTTTAGTTTTATTTTATATTTTTGCATGAAAAAAACTATGTATTGACTTGACTTTTGAGTGTCATAGAGGGGAACTGGGAGACCTATAGAAAGAAAAACAAATACAGGCTGTTGGTGATGATGATATTGAAAGGAAAGGTACATGAGTAGATTAGATGGTAAGAGAATGGTAGGAGAAGGAAATTGCTTATATTAATGGATTGGGGAATGTTGACAATAACTCGAGTAGCTCATGGTCTGTAATTTTAAACCTTCCAACTGAAAAACATACCCTGCTGTAGATTAATTTTTGTATGACAGAAAGTGGATGCTCCTTGAGTGACTAAGCTGAAATGTATTTAGAAGAAAATAGTTATTTTATGATCTGTCGTCAAACTTATAGATAACTAGCTGAGACCCGCGGTGTTACCCGCGTTTGTGGTTATAACCGCGGGCAACACCGCGGGGCAAAGCTAGTCTAAAAAAAGTAGCCTAAGTTACTCCTTATGACATCAGCTATCTGCCAGTGAAAGTCCCGTCGAAATCGGTCCAGCCGTTCCAAAGATTACCCGGAACAAACAGACAGACAGACAGACAAAAATTGTAAAAAATGTTATTTTGGCATATGTACAGTGTAAACATACATATGCATTTAGTAAAAAGCGGTTATTTTAATATTACAAACAGACACTCCAATTTTATTTATTTGTATAGATATCATCAATTTATCAATTTTAACGCCAGAACTCTCGTGTGGAAACATTACAAATATATACTAATACTACTATTGCCCGCGGCTCCGCCGTCATAAATGTCGGTTATCGCGGTAAAAAGTAGCCTGTCTTTCCTTAGAATCAAAGTATCTCCATTCCAAATTTCATCTAAATCGGTTTAGTGGTTATTGATTCCCCATACAAACTTCCACCTCCTTTTTTCACCCACTTGAAAGCTGATTTCTGGGATAATAACCACCCTTTGTCCTTTCCCGAGATCGATTCAGCAGTTTAAGCGTGAGAGGTAACAAACAAACAGACTGACACACTTTCGCATTTATATTATTAGTATGGATAGCTGCTCCTTTCGCGTAAAAGTAATATTCCTCTGTCAAGAGTCACGAAGGCATTGCCGCGTTTTGACCGCACCAAGAATTACGGAGAGGGGTTTCGCTCCGACAACATCACTCCCTTGGTGAAAAGCAATTAAATAGTTATTTAAGCAGCAGTTGCTTAGCACTGATTTTCTGTAAAGTTCATAACTCCGGCCGAGAGCGGCCCCATTTGTGCAGAAGAAGGGCCCTCCCATGGAATATTTACTGAATCTACTGCTTTAATAAAAACATGTGCGTAAATGAATACAACGTTGTAAATAAAATACATTTTCTATTCTATTGGTTTAATAGGTATTGACCCTGACTGCTATGACAGAGATCTTGGGTTCGATTCCCACCCTGGAAAAATAGTTGTGGGATGAGTACGACCGTTTGATTTTTGCCTGGATGTTATTTATCTTCTGTGGTTCTTTATATTTATCTAGCCACTACAGTCTCTCCCTAGTTGGGGATCAAACGACCGAGTGTGGGTCCTATAACTTCGTTTTTCATTATTGTCATGTAAAACGTTTACAGGTCCTTTCATTGGTGGCTTCGCTGCATCATCGATTGGCCGCAAGTGGGGTCTAATGAGTTGTGCCATACCCTTGTTCATCGGATGGATTCTGATAGTAACCACCTACAACGTCGCTATGATATACGCAGGCAGAATCTTTTGGGGATTGGCTGTTGGCATGCTGTTCACCATTTCGCCTATGTACTGCGCGGAAATAGCTACGGTAAGATTTGATGTTTTTATTTTCTACAAGGAATGGTGTGCACCTCCCCCATTTGCCCCCTCCCCTTAATGAAAAGGGTAAGAGTTACTTTATACAAAAGCCTTTTTGTTTTATAATTTTCTTAACTGTATTTAGTGAAACCTCGTGTGGTTTTAATCGGTTTGATTCCGATATACCACTTCAGCTCCTGTGGGTCGATGACCGGTGGGAGCAAAGCGTCTTCCGAGATTCTACTGATTACCAGCACCACGGCTTAAGATGATTGTCCATGTGCCTGGACGTTGTTTATGTAGATTTTTTTGAAAGGACCCTGTCCACTATGGATTTTTTTATTACACTGTTTGCTGTTCTATAAAGTGAATGACTTGATGATAGAGCAACGTACGACCTCGTATGTTGTCATTTTATTTACTTATAAAATCTCAAATCGATGTTTCTAGAAACTTTTTTAGAAACATTGATTTGGGATTTTGATAGATTAGCCAGATGAACCGATGACCTAAAGGGATCTGGATGGACTGGATGCGGAAGGCAGAGGACTGTGGGCCTACTGTGGAACACATTGAGAAAAATCTATGTACAGCAGTAGAGTTGTAATAATTGATGAATGCTAAGCTTTGCAACAAAATAATTGTTTAAATTTTTTTTTAATTGTAGGATGACTCTCGAGGTGCTTTGGGATCATTCTTACAAATGTTCATCACGTTCGGTTTCCTGTTGGTGTATTCTATTGGTCCATTCATCTCTTATCACGCAATTGCCTACGTGGGTATAGCAATCGTGGCGGCCTTCTGCATCGGTTTCTTCTTTATGCCGGAGTCACCTATTTACTACTTGACCAAAGGTTAGTTGCTTGAAGTAATTATAATTTGAATAAATATAAATAGTCTAGGTTTCAAAACAGTAAATATGCATTAACAAAACTTTAAAACTTAACTTAAACCTGTAAATATCCGAGCACTTCCGAGTCTTATAGATATGTCTAAACTAAGCTCTATCGTGCGATCCCCACGACGTACGACCTTTATCTAGGGGAGCGGTCGACACCACTACCAAAGGGGCTATCGCCTCGATACAGCATCCGCACGCGCACGCCGATTGCGTGGGGGGCGTTGGAAAACCTCGACCGATCAGGCATTCTCACTCTGATCACCGGACAGTTCGGACGTACTTGTCACTTTTCACTGGTTTAATAAATGAAGGTTTATTAATTGCACCTTTATCTTCTATATCCAATCAGAGCATTTTCAGACAGGAGTAAGATTTAAGGTTATTCGGGTAAAAAGGGAATAAAGTTACCGATAGGGAAATTGCTTTTCTGGGATGGGAAAACAAAGCTCATACTGCAGTAGCTTGAAGACTGATCGTCCTGGCGATCGCGTATCTGTTAATACTCTGGTTTGTTAACCTCACTCACTTGAAACGCAACGAAATACCTGTTTAACACCGGTCGAGCCTGACCCATTTGTGCCGAAACATAGTTCTCTCACGTAAAAATTTATATATTAAAATATTTAACCTGTATGTTCTTCTTGTGATTGAAGAGGCAACCAGGACCTAAGCATCAACTGATCCTGCCGTTTTAAATACTTACAAGTTTATTTTCGCAGATAACAGGGAAGCTGCAACGGAGTGTCTCGCCAAAATTCGTGGTCGTTCTTACGAAGCCGTAAAAAGTGAGATTGACAAGATGGAGGGAGAAGTCCAAGCATCTTTGGCTAGAACTGCCACGGTAAATATACTATCTATGCTAGAATATAAGGAGGAGTTTATCTTTTGGAATCCAATTCGAATTTGTGACTAAAAATCTTTTTTCTTTCGATAGACCAAGTCTCCTTTACATATGGCCTTTATGAGCAGATCAGTGACCTTAGATGCGGGTGATGTTGCGGGAAACTTATAGTAGTACATTATATGTTTACTAGGGTTGGGTTTAAAGTCCCGGGTCTTCTAATAAATTTAGATAATCTTGGGACTTCGGGTCGATACTTGAGACCGAAGATAAAGGAATAATATAAATTTACTATCTGACCCGGCAAACGTTGTTTTGCCATAAACATTATTTCAAAAAAAATTGACAAAATAAAAATAATTGGTGTATGAAAAATAGATGTTGGCCGATTCTCAGATCTACCCGATATGCACACAAAATTTCACGAAAATCGGTTGAGCCGTTTCAGAGGAGTTCAACCACGCACACCGTGACATGTGAATTTTATATATTAGATTTTTTGTTCTGTGCTTGAGACGGAACTGAACAGGTCGAATCAGTTATTATGTAAAAAGTTTATATATCTGCTCTCAATGTTGAAATGATGGTATTTAAATATTTCCACAATAGCTACGAGTGCACATACTTTTTAATAAGGCCAAGTAAGCATGTCAAACAAACTCACTGACTTTTGTATCCATAATGTTATCTGAGATATGTTGTAATTACATACATTTTACATTTATGAAAATAATTCTAACTGTATTCTGAAAAGTCCTCAGATAATTATAATAACTTGTAACATCTCACACACGGCAGTCCCATACTAGACAAAGCCTGTACTATGGTAACTAGACTGCTGATAAACATACTTATATATTTCTAAATACATACATATTATATATAAATTACACCCAGGCTGAAGTAATGATCATTCTCATCACACAATAATTGGTCCTGGGTGGAAATCGAACCCACGATCTCTGGCTTAACAGTTGGAGTTACTAACCACTAGAGCAACCAGCCAGTCATGATTTTAAGATATCCGGGATGCTCAATTATCTCATGTTCCGGGACTCGGAAAATGTCGAGATTTCCCAAACCCTAATGTTTACAGATCTGTGCCAAGATTCGGTGCCAATTAATGTTGAATGTACGCTCTCACATTGCTAAATGTTGGCTCGGATCCTATATTAGTTAGCTGCTAAATACATGCCTATTGAACTTGCGCCGTACGTCAAGAAGTTTTAACCAAATTTTTCAAAATGCATTAGCAACTTACAACGCACATTATTAATTTTCATTGTTGGGACTAGTACCGGCCGCAACTTGCCGCCATCGTTCCACACGGCAAAACATTCATCCCCAAATCCTGTATAATTCGCGCTCTACCAGTGTGCGCTTTTCAAGACACTTTGCCGCGTACAACTAATCTGTGGAACAAGTTATCGTCTGCGGTATTTCCGGATCGATACGACCTTCAAACCTTTCAGCAAACAGCGTACTCCTTTCGACCTCTGCACAATAACCATTCCAGTGCTTCAGGCGAAACCACAAGATGGGAAAGGACAGATAAGAGGATATTGTGATTGACGGTATTGAAAGCATTTGAGAAGTCGATCAGGACCAAAACAGTAACCTTTGTGTCCTACATTCCCGCCCTGATATCGCAAGTCACTTTAAGGCGAGGGGAAGTAGTGCTATGACCAGGCCTGAAACATTTGCATTTAAAAATACACAAGCATGTTTATCAGCAATCTGGTTACCATATTATTATTTTTTATTTATTCATTTCTCATCGAGTAACAAAACTCATAGTGTTAGTAACAATTTGACTTATAACTATGTTAGTAAATGAAAAATAAAAACACAACGAAACACAATGACATGAACCGGTACCTAACATGGCACATACATGGGCATTATGCTGCAGGTCCAGCAGAGAGTCTGCAACACCGGTTCACGATCGCGCAATCCATTCGGCTAGCGATCATTTTTAGAATGCTGTTGGTGCTGCCCCGCACCCTGCGTACCAGGGACGCGCATCTCTTACGCATTACTGTATAAAAGCAATCAACGCGGGCTTCTACAAACATCCCTGAAGTACTACAGAAACGTAGCAACCCCACCAGCACCCTAAACGCGTTGTTATATTGAACTCGAAGGCTCAGAATGTGAAACATAGCACAGGCTCTGGCTAGTTTGTACCATGAACGTCCAAATATGCTGGACCTCTACAGGTTTATTTGGCGTTTTTAAAAAGGAATACAGAGAATTTTCTTTACGTATTAGTATTTGATGTAATGAAGCTACAAAGTTTTTGTTTGTTTGTGTGTTTGGTTAATCTCTGAAACTATCAGTCAGGTTTGAATGATTCTTCCTGTATTTGGATAAAGCATTTTTGAGAAATAATAAAGGATACCACGCTAAGATATCACTCATCACGCTACGACTCTGTATCAGTAACAATCAACCAATCAAATCTCTATTTTAAATTTAATTAGCTAGGTATTAATCGCTTAGGCAGCACTTATAATATTAGTAAAAATACGTTCTGTTGTTTCCAGATCGCCGATGTGTTCCGTGGAAGTAATTTCAAAGCGTTCTACATCTCGTCAGCGTTGGTGTTCTTCCAGCAGTTCAGCGGGATCAACGCTGTGCTCTTCTATATGAGCACCATCTTCTCAGCAGCTGGCGCCAGCCTCGATGCTTCCATTGCGACTATTATTATTGGAGCTGTACAGGTTAGAGAATTTTAGCATTTGTCAGTCCTAAAAATTATAATTTTTTCTCCTACGAATAGTAATTACTCAATCTTGATGGACTCTAAAACCTATTAGATATTTTTTAATAGACAACTAAATTTTTAATTGGCACTAAATTAAAAAAAAAAAATCGGATACACACCACACACATGCCACCTAGTTTAACACTTACTTTTTTTATTGTAAATGCATATATATATATATATATTAAACATAGAAAGCACCAATAATAAAATCAAAGTACGTTGTCCTAACATTATAGGTGGTTGCATCCTGCATCACCCCCTTAGTGGTGGACAGACTCGGTCGTCGGATCCTGCTGCTCATTTCAAGTTGTGGCACAAGTGTTGGTCTAGTAAGTCCTTGCCTTTTCTTCTTCTTTCTTTGAATGTTTAATTTAATATCGTAATACAACCATAAACTAAATTTAATGGAGTTAAAGTATAAACCTTTACATTTTAAATAATTATACTTTCGTAAAACTAAAAAAAACTGAAATGAAGGACGGAATTAAAAACTTCATGGTCAGGCCATCATTACCGCTAAATCAGTTGGACTGTTCAAACTAATTATATAAGGAACGGGCGTTATCTCCCTTCCAAATCGAAAGGAATATCTTTCGAATAACATAATAACCTAATCAGCGAGAGGACTTTCATTGTGTGATACAGGATTTAATATTGAAAAAAAATTCTTGTACAGCTGTGGATAACAATACCATAATTTGACTTCTTTGCACCGCCGTTTTTTGGTGATGGGGTGGAAAATCCTTTCGGATCTCCCTTAGTTTTGAGAAGGACAAAACGCTCGTTCCGCCACGCACCCAAACTTGAATTAATCGACTTTACTTGCTGAAGATTCTGCATCGCGCAATGAAGTTTTTCTCAGAAAAAAAAATACATCTTTTATCAATAATTGTACCGATATTGCCTTATGATCTCAGGATTAGCGAAGTCTACATAACTTGTTTTCTTTTTCTTTCAGGGTCTTTTAGGAATGTACTTTATACTTTCTGACAATAAAAATCCGGTTGTGGAGAGTATAGGTTTCCTGCCGATCCTGGCTCTAGTCGTGTTCATAGTGACGTACTGCTGGGGCCTGGGACCTCTGCCCTGGGCCGTCATGTCCGAACTCTTCCCAATCGAAGTCAAGGCCATCGCCGCTCCCATCGCTACGGCTTTCTGTTGGACTTTGTCTTTCTTAATCACGAGGTAAATAGTTTGTACTCTTTTTGTCTTCTGTCATTCTTGGCAACATCTTAAGGGTTAACTAAGGAAAGAGCAGTTACGGCTGATAGCTCAATATAAATACTTAATCCTCCATTTTTCATTTTCCTTCTCCACAGATTCTTTACATCAGTCGCAAATGCAATAGGCATGGGTCCGACATTCCTAATTTTTGGAGTATTCTGCGTGTGCGCATTCTTCTTCACACTCTTTTTGGTGCCCGAGACGAAAGGGAAGAGTTTCCAAGAGATCCAGGACATGCTGGCTGGCAAGTATGTATCGGATAGTTTTTTTATTTATTTAATAACTTTATGTACAAAATGTACAATGGCGAATTTAATGCCATAGGCAATCTCTACCAGTCCACCGTAGGGTGGTGTGGAAATGAATGAAAAGGTGCACTACACTTTGGTTGAGAATTTTAAAGTGAACACAGAAAGAGAAGAGAAGAAATGAGAAAAAGCAGTGACAAGAATACATATTCATTTATTAATATCATATATATACGCATACATATATACTATAATATATAAAGTATCATATTTGGGATGATTCTGCTATATTCTTGGTAAGGAGAGTTCGTACCTTAAACGAATTTTGAATGTCTATACTCAAAAAACAAAGCAGACGAGTACGTTTTTATCGGTACAAAAACAGAACGGTCTTGTTTCGGTCGTATATTTCTTGTCATTTAACAATAACCATTTTCGAAATCGGTTTAATAAATGAGGATTTTATGAGATAAACAAAAAAGTTGAACCGAATTGAGAACGTCCTATTTTTTTTAATTAGGTAAAAAGTTTTTTTTTTTTGATAACCCAATTCTTGAGAAAGGTTATACGATATTTAACGTCACGCTGCTGCCTATAGGAGCGGAGTAGTGACTGAGACAATAAAAACCAGCTATTTCAATTTCACGATGCTGCCAAATAAATTTGTTTAAAAAATTATCAGGAGACACCTTTTACCTTTGAATATATAGACGTATTTAATTTAAAAAAAAAAAGTTAATGTATATATGTATACTACTTGAATTAATAATTTGTTATTATTTATTTCCAGGTCCTCCAAATCTCAGAAAATGTAAGTTATGAAGTCTTAATAAAGAATTCGATGCCGCTTAATTTATTTTATCGTAATTAATTATCGCTAGTTGTGGGAGCATTCAAATGTCATGGCCAACATTGCTGCCAAATGATCACCGCATCAATGTATTACTATCGTGTCTTATTTATAAAAAGCCTGATTGATGAAATGTCGTATTGACAACATATCGAAGTGACAACACGTTGTATGGACTTTTGTTACAACTGTGCGCCAACTGAAGTGACAACTGTGGGCCTAGTGTAAGTTTATTTCTCTGTAGACTCGCTCTCGACGGCGAGCGCATTTAGCGTTGCGATTGGTGGAGATTTCAGTGCGGGCCAATCGCAACGCCGAACGCGGTCACCGTGACGAGCGAGTTTATGTAAAATAAACTCGTATTTGGCCCTCTGTCGTACTGACAACTTGTCGTAGTGACAAAATGTCGTACTGACAAAATGTCACATTGATAATGATATTTAAAATTAAAAATAAAACCCTTTATGTGATACTTTACGATGCATTTAATGAAAAAAATGAAATCAATGAAGGATTTAAACATCGAACAAAATGTAAAAGGTGTTTGTTTGAGAAATATTTAATATTAGTCAAAATGATGGTTTTTTCAAAGGCATTGAAGGTTTTTTAGCTTGGCAACATTCTTATTAATAAGATAAATATTGCGATGTATTTGAGTGGTGTTCCATTTATTTATAAGATTTTATAATAGATATATTTACTAAGGATATTGTCAACACAGTGACGCCTCGTCCTTTGTTTAGTAATATACCTAGCTATGAATTTTTTGAATACGTAAATGAATTATAATATTGATTAGTGACTGGTGATCCAGAAAGTCATGAATTTAAATGAATTTGAGTGTTTAATTATATATAAAATGAACTGAATAAGATACCGACGATATCTCTGCACGTATAAAAATTCACGTGGTATATGCATGTTCCTAATTGACCCTAGGGTCAAACGCGACCTTTGATCTACAAAGCCCTTTTAATATAAGACAACAAATACAAAATGGAGTACAAAATAATGGATTCCAGTGGATCCGCCGCTTTGTGATAGTAGAAATATTGTTATTGATGTACATAATTATTTTTAATGTTTAATTGTATATTGTTATGAATAAATGTTATATATTCCTTTTGACAATTGTTTGATATTATTTTTCGACCTAATATTACTATACTTTTAGAATATAAAAATTTCAATCAATATTTATTAAAAAAGCACCGGTTTCAGTGCGTCCATTAGGTATATCATGATAAATTTTAATAAGCTTTTTTTTTCTTTATGTTAGAAGGGGCAGACGAGTAGACGGGTCACCTGATGGAAAGTGACCACCGGTGCCCATAAACGTCTGCAACTCAGGAGTCACAAACGCGTTGCCAGCCTTTTAGGAAGGAGTACGCTCTATTCTTGAAGGTTTGAAGCTATTTCTTGATACTACCTTCTATCGTTGGAGGTTAATATTTATACCACAACTAGGAAGGGAAGGGGTAATCTTTTTTTATAAAATGGGTCACTGGTCAATGGTCATGGTTGTTTAGGAATACGCACCAACACTGGAAAAGCATTGCCCAACTAAAAAATATTCAAAATTTATTTTTTAAAGTATATCTCTAACAACACATATTATGCAGGCATAGGTATAGGCATAGGTAATTTGGTTCACAGCAATAAAAACTACAGCTAGTAATCCATTGCGTAATTTATTGAGGTGAAATAAAACGACAATTAAAATAAAACAGTCAATATATATTACAATGAACGTACAAACTACACTTCAGTCTTACACTCAGATTATCGTCTCTTACCCGTAATCTGATCACCGCGTCTGACTAATACAAGCAAACGCCTAAATACAGTGGTTAAATCTCCAGTCAATTTCTATTAAACATAAAACCAAAAGGTTCTGTAGGAACTTGACGTCACACATTGCTTTCAAATTATTCAGGGCCCTTCACACGGCGTATTTATAACGCGCCGACGACGCACATATGACGCGCGTTAACGTGCTTCAAACGAAGTTCATGCGCAGACTAAACCTTTGCACACGTTCAAAAATTTTGTGATGTAAACGTGCTGATACAGCGATACAAATGCGTTGCAGTTTCACGTATATATTGTAATATAGAATTCTCTGCGTTATTACTAGACTTCTCGACAGTAGTAAAATAAAGTCGGTGGTCGATACACGCTGGTTTTATTAGTGATGTAAAAAAAGATAAGGAAAGCCACTCTATTGGATAAACTCATTTACGGGTAAAAGATTAAATGGTCATATTAATACAATGTTTAAAATAATGATCAAACATAAAAAATAGTAAAAAATCCAAAGATATCGTATTCGCCATTCCAAGAAGTTCTTTTAATCCTAAAACTGAAGTTTCCAAACGCGATATAGACAAGCTTTGAACGCGCTTCACACGCGCGTTTTCAACGCTTTGTACGCGCCTTTAAATTGATACAAATGCCACAATCTGCTTTTTGATGATCTACAGCGCTGTATGCGCGCGTAAAACGTGCGCCGTCGGCGCGTTAAAAATGCGCCGTGGGCAAAGGCCCTTACTTGTAACGTTTGAGAGTAAAAAATTGTAACGAATTTATTTCATTACAGTAGTTTTCGACACACATTACACTTAAATTCATGAAGACGTCAATGATTTCTTCATTTATTCTTCATACGTATTTTGGTAAAAAAATACAAAACCGTTTTTTTATAAATATAAATAAATTAGTCCTATGATCATAGCCATGCACACTCTTGTAATTTATTGGCTATCATGGACCCATCCATGTAACCTTCTTTGAGAGAAGGAGCTTTGTTTATTTTTTGTTTATTCCTTTTTTTCATTAAAAACAGTTATGTGATATACATCTAAAAAATACTTATTAACGCCTAAATCACAATAAATTTTAATAAACCCTATTGGTCATCACTACATTTTTCATTCTTCGAAGTGGAACATTTACAAATATATATTCTATAGGTATTATATTTAAAAAAATAATGTAAAAACAATCCCATGGTAACTCTATGACTTTAATAAAAAACTAAGTACCTCAAACGTGAGTCATTGAGTGAGCTCCAATTATTAATATAATTGTCGTCACTTTTAGTAATTTAGTAGAACAGCAAATATTGCTTGGTTTCTATATAGATGTTTATCACACAACAAATAAAAGAAAATAAACATTACATATATAAATATTCATGCACTCACGTCTTCAAAATCATTACGTCACTAAATTTAGTTCCACCTATCAGCAAGATTTTGACAGTCCACTTCAATGTCAAACAACCATAAACAATTTACCTACTGTAAAGTTTCTATTCAAACTCCTTGCTTATATCGTCCATCGACAATAGAACGTCACAAATACTGGCCGCATACGACTTTATGTCGTTATCTTTTTTAATTTTGAGGCTAGCACAGTACAGTTTTTTGTACAAATCCGCGATTTTTTCATAATCTTTATTAGTTTTCCCTCTACAGTACTGGATGATACTCTTTAGTATAAAATGCAGTCTATTTTCATAGAGAGAGAGAAGATTGTATTCGTTTTGCATATCTCTTTCTTCATTATCCTCTGGCCTCGGTGGCTCTTTTTGTTCTACTGGGTCCTTGTCTTTGAGGAGTTTCATAATAGAATGGCACTGGCGTAGGAGCTGGACTGCTGACTGTAGGGACTTGAGTTTGAGGTTGGGTGAAACTGGAAAAAAATGTTTTTGTTTATTGATTATTGCCTATATTTTGCATGGCATGGGTCGGACTTAATGTTCTGTAGTATTTATTACCAGTCTTAGTGCTATTAATTCTCTGCTGTTCTGCGGTCTTCCCGAAAAACTACACTATAGATAGATAGGTACTCTTTATTGCACATCATGGATAGGAAACATACAATGCATGATGACGACCGGATGGCGTAGTCGTCGTGTGACAACGAACACCAATCAGAAAGTGTTACGTCACGCCACGCAAAACATCATTGTTGCTGTTAACGTTTTCATACAACAGAGCAGGTTACTCCTTATTCCTTATTCATTTTTTGAAAACAGTTGACACTGGACACAGATGTAAACAGTTTTATTTCGCAGACTGTGACGTCATTCAAGACGCCATGACAGTATTCAGCGTTTTCAAAAGAAATTTCAATTGTTTTTTTTTTAAATACATAATACGTAATGTAAATTTTGCTTTTTCTTTAAAATATAGGTTTTTTTGGGTTAAAATAGATTTTAAAGTATATAATTAACCAAGTTTTCAAATTGAGTCAACAGCCTATTAAGTAAAGATGAATGTGGTGGTGATTGTCATGATGTTGATGATGACCATGGCGATGATGATCGGCGTGAAAGAGATTATGGGGAAAATTGATTAAGCAGTGACACATGGCCCCAACACCAAAACAAAATATGAAATGATGATAAGAGATATTTTCACATTAAAATGACTCAAAATTTGTACTCTTGTTGACCCCCTCTTTGTTTGCAGATTCCAGTTTAAATCCTACACAGTAGTTTTTTATTGTATAAGAAGGCAAACCAGCAGAGTCACCTGATAGTAAGTTACTACCGCCACCTATTGACATAATAATATGTCTAAATAAAATTTGCTTTAAACTCTAAGACAAGCGATCGCCTGAAACACAGGTTTACCTTAGTTCAGGCAGGCAGCAATTAAAGTTTTTGAACTAAATTTTATTATCTATATGCATATGTAAAAATCTGTATAAATATAATAACATTGTTTTTTTTATTTGATTTGATTTGATTTTATAAAAAGACAACTTCCGCATTAGGAATGTATCCTGTCTCGCGGGGAACTTTACAAACATACATGAAACGGACACAAAGAACACCCAGACTCAGAACAACAATTTGTGGATCCCACAAAATCTTGTCTAATGTGGGGATCGAACCCACAACGCTGAGCGCAGTAGAAAGGTGTGGCGACCGCTTAAACCACTACGTCATCTGTACAGTCAATGGGAGTTAAAATAAACAAGATTGTATAATGTAGATACCTGCAGCCTGTGTCTCCAAAACAGCAACGTGTTCCATCTGCACGGTGAGGAACATGCCGGCGTCCTCCAGGCTCGCGAACATGTTGGCGGCCTGTTCGTAGTTCGACCTGGTCGCGTTCAGCAGCGTGCGACGTCTGGGACCTTCTTCCTGGGTTATCCTGGACATAGTATTACTAATAGTAACTCGACATTAATAAACACTCACCAAGAGAACCAAATTTAATGGTTGCTGTTTCTTTTTTTAATTCTTTATACACAAATTACAATTGCACAATGGCGGACTTAATGCCACAGGCATTTTTTCCAGTCTACCTTTGGGTGGTGGGGGAATGTCTGATTAGGTGTACTAGATGTGACGGGCCTGTTGGTCTAGTGGTTAGTGCCCCTGACTGCTAAGCCGGAGGTCGTGGGTTCGATTCCCACCCAGGACAAATATTGTGTGATGAGCATGATCATTTGTTCTGTGTCTGGTTGTAATTTATCTATAATATGTATGTATTTAGAAATATATAAGTATGTTTATCAGCAGTCTGGTTACCATAGTACAGGCTCTGCCTAGTTTGGGATCAGACCGCCGTGTGAGAAATGTGTGAGGTATATTATATTATTAATATATTATATTATTATATATCATTATAGACATTAAGTTTTTTTTTTTTAAATAAAACAAGTTTTCTTTTTAAGTAATTAACATATCATCATCAATGCACATTTGAATAGTAATCCTAGGAACGTATTATAAACAAGTACACTTCCAAAACTACCCTTACATAAGCCATAGTCAAATGGTGATCTCAGACTGGACAACACCTTTTTTTATGGAAGAGGAGGCAGACACGCAGACGGGTCACCTTTTGGAATGTAACTACCGACGTATTTATGACAAAACATAACACATAGATATTGTAGATAAAATTACACACAGAGACAGAACAAACGATCGTGCGTAACACACAATTATTTGTCTTGAAACAGAATCGAACTCAAATCTCTGACTTAGCAGTCAGCAACAACAATCTTGCTAATGATGGAGCTCTAAAGCCCAAGTAAAAAGCCTTAAAAACCCTTTACAACAGAACCCCATACTCACCGATACTGAGAATGGTACAGCGAACCAAGCCGGTGGTATATCATAGCCGCCCTGAACTGGTACAAGTACTGCCGAGGCCCTGGGCTCAGTAAGCAGTGCTTTAGGGCGTGTTTCAAGGCGTCAGAAACACTTGCCACCTCCTGGAAACAGGAAGAATAACCAACCTTACTACTGCGATCCTGCAATATAAACAAGCAACCAGACACATGGTCGAAAAGAATCTGGTTCAGCATATGGTTAATTAAACCAGATCTTTTTCAATGGACACTAAGAGATCATTATTCGTTTAAATCAGGGATTCCCAAGTGATTTTCAAGGGTCGACGTGAACGAAAACTGATTTTGGGGGTCGACAAGTCTAAAAATCGACCCCTATTAATTAACATAAGTTCTCATTTGAAACTTTCAAGATACTGTATTAGTTGTGTTATGTGCACTAACTTGTTATAACTAATACTCCGATAATATATAGACTAATATTTCAGTAGGAAGTATCATCCCTGGTTTAAATCAACATTTAAATACTTATTTACTCTCCCGACTTCGACCCGTTGCAACGTTTTAGATACTTGTAACACTCTATAAAATACAAACATACACTCACGCCTCATTCTCGTCCAGGGTAGGCAGAGATGATAGAACACCACTTGCCACGACTCTGACATACAACTCACGCCTCTTCCACAGAGTTGGTTTTTATGTTCAGTTTTCAGAAACGTTACCAAGGAACCTTAGGGCAATTGGTGCGATAGCTCTTCGTCCCTAAAAAGCAGGTCCAAGGTATGACCTATCCAAGGTCCAAGGTATTATGTTGGTACGACCTACTGCGATTAAGAACAACTCTAAAGGAACGCTACCACCCCATAATTATACACCCCATACTTATAGTGGTTGCTGTAGCTATAAAATACTCACGGTACACGCTTCGGGTGAATCCTGCATGACAACCGCTTTAGTGTATAGATGACAAGAAAGTTCCCACGCCACTAATTCCCAGACCGAAGTGGCGCCACACGTCTCTCGCGGTCCGAGCAACTTTAGAGCCGTGTTGTACAGATCCTCCGCTTCGCTGTATAGGCGACGTTTCTCGTTGCTGGGGAAGAAATCGTTCAACATCAGAAAAGAGATTCCACTATCGCTGACTTGCAGAAGATAATCATAAAAGAGCCGGCCGCAGAGCCCCTAGGTCATGATGAATTGTTAAATACTCCATTTCTTAATTTTCAACCCAAAGAGTCTTTTTTCTTCAAATTTGAATGTAAAAAATCAGTCATATTAACAACAAAAGGCACAGATAATATGTACAGTGTAACCTTAGTATAACGAACTTCAATATAACGAATTTTTCAAAATCCCCTAGAAACGTCCTTAAGAGCTAATGCATAATATACCTTTACATTACGAATATATATTTACCGAAAACCTTTTTATAACGAATTTTTAATCATTGCAGAAGATAGATTAAAATGTATTGACCTCGATTTAACGACTTTTTCAACTCATAACCTTTACATAACATATCCTATCAACTATTCCCATTTAATTGTACAATAATTCATGTGTCAACAGGTTCAGACATGTTTAATTCTTCGAGTTTGATGCTTCTTCTTGTTTGATTTGATGATCAGTAAAGTAAACACTGCTATTTGTAATGGTTGTTATTTTTGTTGCAATGGCTGAGAATCGAAAAATGTTCGCCGATAGTTATGATTGTATTTACCTGAACGCTGCTTGATCACAATGCGCCCTGAACCTCAGATATCTTCCCTTGTTACAGTACAACAGTGCCAAGTTTGGTATATCGTTGACCTGCTTGAAGATATCGGTGGCCTCGTCCAGGCATTCGAGTGACTTTCGTGACATCACAGTGAACTGTTTGAGCAACAGCTTAGCTTTGGAATCCTGTTGATCGGGTTCCTCTGCATATTTTGCGTATATTTCTGGGGAAAATATTTATATTTATTTTATTTTGAATTTTGGTGGTATAGGTGTGGTGTGGTGTGGTGTGGGTGTGGTGTGGTGTGGGTGTGGTGTGGTGTGGTGTGGTGTGGTGTGGTGTGGTGTGGTGTGGTGTGGTGTGGGTGTGGCGTGGGTGTGACGTGGGTGTGGCGTGGCGCGGTGCGGCGGGTGAGACACTCACGTTGCGCATCGTTCATGTAGCGCACGGCGAGCTCGTTGGTGACGGAGGCCTTGCGGCGAAGCAGCTCCCCGCGCCGGCCGCGCGCCACGCCCGCCGCGCGCGAGTACAGCGCGCACGACCACAGCATCGCCGAGATCTCGCTCGTCGGGAAACTTATGTCTGCCGGTACGAAAGTCTCATTAGTATACGAGATCTTTGAAAACCTCCAAAAGATTCTAGACTTTGGAACGGATACACTCTACGGACAAAATGAAAATGAAATTCTCATCGTAATAGTGTAAATCCTGATTACTGTGAGCCGTTTGTGACTTCTCAGCGATGATGACATCATCCATGTAAAAAATGCAACAACATTAACATTCAAAACATTACGTAACGAAATTTTTCCTTCTGTACGTTTTATTTTAATGTCACTTTTTCTATCTTCGATCGAGGCTATAAGCTGAACGTCACCATAAATAAGTAATCTCTAGAAGTTCAAAAAAATAATCACATAATGACATCTGCTTATACTGTACAAAGATATCCGATAAAGTTGTGCTCCTTAAAATACTAAATTAGTTCTAGAACCTATATCTCATGAAACGAATTTTGCTATTAAAATTCAAAAATGGTAACTTGTTAATAAAAATATTGATTTACGAGTGTTAAAAAATTAAATATGACTTATTAGACATCCGGTGTAGGAAGAAGCACTATTATTTTAAACAGAACTCTAGTTCTAACTCTTAATACAAGTTTTTCGCGTTAAAATCCAAAAGCACGATTCCAAAAATAGAACATGCCCTTTAAGATACTTCAAATTTCAGGTTTACGAAAAACATTACTTTAAATTGAACATACTCACCAAGATCAAAATCATCGACTGTGATGTTTTCGACTTCCTCCACTAAGTCATTCTCAATCTCCAATCGAATCTTGCTATCAGTATCATGGTCCATTTGAAACTGTTGCTTATATTTTTCCAAACAGGGCCAGTTTTTGCTCATCTGAAAATAATTATCGCCCACCCTCCCTATCAAACACGAGGCATCCACTACATTACTTTTTATGATCATGTTGCATAAAAGCTTTTGGCACCTGCTCGCTATATCGATATACTTCAATGAAAAACCGTAATGAGATTCGGCGTAGCTATATTCTGCCAACGTAGCGTAAGCTAGGCATATATTTTCATACAACAACGTTTTTAAATGTAGTTTCCAGGCGAAATTGTCGTTACGATTTGGCTCGTGCCACGTTGGATAAACTTTTTTCTCTTTAAGAACTTGGATCGCGTTTTTATCAATATTACTATTGGATTCTATAAGGTAGTTGTAAGTTTTTTCGGATGTTTTTCGCTCTCGTTTCCGGCGTCTGCTGCGAGACGTGTGTTCTTTAGAGTTTGATTTTGTTTGAGAGATGGGTTCGTAGCTCATCTTGATCGGTTCGTACGGATTCGCCATTTTGGGATGTTGTTCTTCAGTTATTATTTGTTGTCTTATTCGTTCGCGTTCTTCTTCCTGTTCAGAAAAGTAATATTGTGAAGTTAATTTGTCGATGTCTCTTTTCTTAAGTTAAAAATTTTCTACTATTTTAGTAAATTCTGGTAAGGCCTTTTGTAATAAATAACATTCGTGATTATGCAGTTTTTCAAAATTTACTTTCTTCCTATGAAAACGTTACTCTATAATCATGTATCGAATGAGATTTAGGAATCTGTAAACAAATATTTTTTTTGCACCGTCGATGGCTTCAGACGGATATGCTGACAATTGCATGGGCGATTAATGAAGAAAAATGGAAAAAAAAGTATGTGAGGCGTTCTTCGAAGACGAAGGTGGGTGTTTACCTTGCACTTGTGGATGGTGAGGTTGTGCAGCGCCAGCAGCCCCTGCAGCGCGTGGTGCAGCGCCTTGCCGCAGCGCTCCGGCAGGCCCTTGCCCATCGCCTCGCCGCCCGGGTTCGAGCGTTTGGGGCCCTACGACACACTCTTACAATTATTTTCACTTTGTATACACGGTGATTTTGAAAGCGTTTTGGAAAAGAAAATTTTGAATTATTTATCAGTAACAGAAGCTATATATAACGTTAATTTAATAAAATATATATTTTTTTTACCATCAAAGTCGATATTCATATCGTTTACAGAGAAAAAGTCAGAACCAGTAGTAGTAGGCTATTCAATCACACGTAGGTAAATACTACGAATAGAAATACTATGCGTTTTAATATCGAGTCACATAAAATCGTATTCGCCAATAAAAACAAAGCTACCGAGTTGCGCCGGAGTCGTCCAACCAATGACGTCTGCCCCGTAGGCGCATGCGCGGGGCTCACCTGTCATCGTCAGTCGGTCAGTAATACCATAACATCGTGACGGCACGCTGCATTGATTAGCGCTAAAATGAGTCGACAGTACGAATTTTCAAACGTGGAATACTTCTTGGCAATGGTACAGCTGTACGCTACTGCCAACTACAACTTGGAAGAGGCTCGGCGTTTGTATTCCCAGCCGGAGCATTTAAATGCACTACGGCTACGTGGAATTGAAAGCCCTCAAATTCCCTCCACACCTACCATCTTGGCTGCAACCCAACGTCTTCTCGACCACGGACAATTTCGTGCGCCTACTCATGCGCAAGGTCAAGGACGTTTTAATTATTATTCGCCGGAGTGTAGTGCGTGCATACCTGGACAATGAGCTTAGTGATCGGTGGATAGGTCGAGGAGGGCCAGTGCCTTGGCCACCTAGAACCTAGAACCACCTTCTTATGGTCGGAAATAAAAAGACTTGTTTATACACGGGAATATGAAAGCCGTGATAATTTACGCATTGCGATAGTGGACGCTTTTGATAAAGTGAAAAGTGATAGAGACACATTAAGAAAATTAAAAAACAATTGCATTAAACGTGGACGTTTGTGTATTGAATGCAGCGGACTCCATTTTGAGCAGTTCCTTCGATACAGAGAACTGTAAATAGTGTAAATAAACTGTAAATAGTTAATTATTCTGTAGATAGCTCCGATTTTTTAAATACGCCTGAAATATTTATACCTACAGTCCGTTGATAAATTGATTTGTTGTGAAAAGAACAATCGTGGTTAATAATCGAAAAGAAGTTTAAATAAAATAGGTATTTCTGACGGTCCTAAGCCCGTGTAAAGTATGAAGGACAAATTGGAGTCTATCTACGTAAGTACTCGCTAGCTCGCGCCTATAGGTATACTTTTATCAGCTGCTGTTAGCGTCAGCGGTGCGCAGCGGCCGCCGAAACGCCCACGGACGTGTTTCATTCATATAAGATAATGAATGAACGATCAGTCCATTACTACTTTCCAAGTCGATCGAGTAAAAATGAATATTAAAACTGAAACTTTTTTTAGTCAACATTACAATTGATTTAACCATTTTTATTGGTACTATAGATGATTCCAAATTCAAATATTTCGTTTCCAAAACGCTTTCAAAATCACCGTGTATATTCTATCCTTTGCAATACTAGTGGAGCTGTGTAGAGGAAACTGCTTTTCTACGATTCCACTTCGAGACACTATTTAGCAGAAAAAATTGAATCTAGAGTTTACATTTGATACACAGATTTAATAGGATGTTTGGAAAGTTTTCTCGAAAACTGACAACAATTTAAATCTTAAACAGTGTGGTATAAAGTCTGAATTGATTTGTCAGTATGTTCGTTTCTTTGATAGTTTTTTTTTTTGGGACTAAAGTATTTTTCGTGTAGCATCTTTCATCTCGTTTCGCCATTCTGTGAGCGGCTTTCATACCTGTTACACACATTAGTCATGTGTGTAACAGGTATGAAAGCCATCCCAACATTCTTCAACCGACGTCAAAAAGGAAGTTCCCTTGGAAGAAAAAAGTGTTTACTGTTTAATGTATTTACTTCATATTTTAACTTACCCCAGTATTATCTTTAACTCTATCCCCAATCTCTTTGAGCGCCAGTCCTCTGATTTGCACAGCAAGTGATTTCTCATCATTGTTCTGGCTCTCCGATTCGTTCAGATCCTCGCTGTCTACAGTTTTGTCTAAATTTTCAGACTGATCACAAATATTTTCATCATTCGGATCTGGGTATTCAGAAAATTCGTTCTCGCCATCTGACTCAGTATTTTCATCTGAAAACAAACATGCTGGTAATTATTTTAAGTCATAAAATCTTTTTTTATGTACGTTATAATATGATAGAATTCTTTAATGACAAAACGATGTTACTTCTAAAAGTGTATAATTTTTTTTTTTTAATTATACATTTTCTAAATCGTATTAAAATGGCTTCGTTCTTCAATCTTCAATTCAAAAATACAAGCAAAGTGGGTCACAGATTACTAGTATTCTTGTTAACCCCACCAGCTAAGCCAAATTCTTGATGGGGGAAGATCGGGAGTATCTTGAAAGGAAAGGTAGATCAGGCGGGAAAGCGATGGTATGAAAAGGATATTGCTTATAGAATTGGAGATTGTAAGCAAAAGCTTTCCTAGGACAAGGTCGCTGGCCTAAATCTAAAAGAAATGATTAATCTTACCATTAAAATTGGGATCTGCAGGATTAGTAGTAGCTGGCACATATAAATCGGCCAACATGTAATGACTCGACGCCACAATTTGCGGGTACCTCTCCACCTTCAACAGCTTTATCACGTGCTCTAACAATTGTTTGACATGTTTCGACCTGTTCGTCATGCGCATATTCCTGGCAACCCTATACAGCAGCATAGCCACTGGCGTCGTGAATGGATTATCTAAGCTGTCTGGACATAGGGATGTCAAATCGTAAAGTTTAACGACGTCGTCATGAGGGCCTTTAAATAGCCAATAAGTGTGTCCAGACTTGGTGGCATTGGACTTTAGAAACGACAGAATATTCTGAGCAACATTTCTAATGACTTTTGGGGAAAATTTCGAGTTCTCCATGTTGGGTAAGTCTTCTGTCTTCATTGGTTCGTACTTCTGAACTATTCCATCTAAGTGATAGCACATTAGAACTTCCGGGACATTACACATGAGGTTGTCCAACCAGTAATCTATGCCTGTCAGGACATTGATGGGTTCCCTAGCGTCTCTTAGCCTTAAGCTGACGCAAGGTCTGTCTTTATCACCGAAGATTGGCAAATCGGATCCTATGAGCATATGGATGTCTTCAAACGTCCATAATACGTTTCGGTTGTATAAGTGTTCTGTTGGAGGTTCCTCTGGTTTTTCTTTAGTCTCTGGCTCCGGTAGAAATGGACCTAAGAATAATTAAAGAAAACAACTTAACATCTCATATTTCAGTATTCCTATTAAAGTCACTGCTACTTTGGTGTTGATTGTGTGCTTACCGGTGATCATTGGCGTACTTATAGCAGGGAGTGGCTGCGGCTTAGGGAGCTCGGCCACTTGGTTCTGAGTGACACTGTGGGACAAGAACTTGTGTGTCAACTGTAGGGTTGTGCTCGGAGCTGGTGACAACATAAGCTTCATTCTTTCCTGTAAATAATAAAAATCAACTTTGTTTTAATAACTTAATAAATGCCAGATGGGAAAAGTAAGTTTGTTTTAATGGCTCATTGGTTTGATTCCTTTTTTTTTCAAATATTTGGATCAATAACAATGTCTTTTTTCATTTGTTATGATGTTATGACAGACGGAGAGGGAGTTTTAAACTGAAGGGCCTGTTAGTCTAGTGGTTAGCAATCCCGACTGCAAAACCAAAGGTTGTGGGTTCGGTTCCACCCAGAACAAATGATTGTGTGATAAGCATGATCGTTTATTCTGTGTTTAGGTTTAATTTATTTACAATATGTATATAAATATATACATATTATAAATAAATTAAACCTAAACACAGAATAAAAGAAACATACTTATATGGTTCTAAATTCACTTCATTTTAAAGTATCATTGAGAGTAGACGTATCGCAAATATTTATCAAAATATTAAATCAGTGCCATTTGAAGTTAATCCTATTCGGTTGCGAAGTAAAGTTTTAAATAGATTGGTAATCTTAATCGCACTTAGAACGCTCTTATTCCGTATAATCAATCCGCGTGTGGGGCCCCGCCTCTTCGAGTAAACGGGACAACTGCGATTTTTCGACTCGCTCACGCACTTCACGCAGAGGACAGAGACCGTCAACCGTCGGAATGAATTCTAATTGCAAAAAATGTAATGAAAAAGTTCAGGATGGTGCCCAGTGTTCGAGGTGTAAATTGGTATACCATTATTACTGCGTCGCCCTATCTGAAGTGGGCTGGCGAAGGCTTGGTTCTGAAAGAAAAGCATCTTGGCTATGCCCGAACTGCAAATCTAACGCACAACTGAATTCTCCCAGGAACACAACGCAGTGTAAACCAATTGAAGAGACTAAGGCCGAATCGACATCACTTGAAAACATTGAAGCAATGTTGGCATCGCTATCTGGTCTACCGGTTCTCGTGGAGAAACTTCGTAATGAGGTTAGTGAATTGAATGCCAGATTTAGCAGTCAGGTAATTGAGGAGCTGAATACCAGACTGGACGATATAGAAGCAAAACTATCTTCAGTGGAATCCTTAAAAATTGAACAAAATAAGTTAATTACTAAATTGAATACCCATGAAGACCGTTTCATTAAACTAGACAAGGATTTGAAACAACAAATTGAGGAAACGACGGACCTCCATAAAAAAATGAAGCTTCTAGAAAGAGAATACAATAGATCACAACAGTTTCCTGAACGTTGAGATAGTCGGAGTCCCCGAAAAAAGTGGTGAAAATTTGGTGCAGTTACTTCTACAGATTGCAACATTTGTTAATGCCAATATTAATGCAGATGACATTGAGTTCACAACTCGAGTACAACCTCATCACTCGCACCCTGGGCGTCCACGAAGAATTATTGCAAAGTTGAAGACCAGAAGGGCCAAGGACAGCATAATAATCAATTTTAGAAAACTTAACAAAGATAAAGGAATTACATCAAAAGACTTAGGTTATGACGGGAATTCTAATAAAGTATTCATAAATGAGCATTTAACAATAGCCAATAAAATACTGCTGAACAACTGCCGTCAACGCGCTCGGGAACTGAATGTTAAATTCGTCTGGGTAAAAAACTGTTCAATTTATATGCGAAACAACGAAACATCACCACCAGTAGAAATTACCGCAGAAGAAGATATACAGAAATTTTCGTCTTAGATCTAGTCAGTTTGTTTTATGTTTGTATTCTACACTTTAACTACAACATTCACACAAGAACTTTTACTCATAACAATACACATCACACAAATTTAAAATTATATACGACAACAGTCGACACACTCATTACTTGTGGTTACTTAATACTACATCCGAAATTCATAAGCCAAAGGTTGAGAGTTTCTGGTCCGCTCCTAGTCACCTTAATTATGCGGGTAGTCCCTTACATCGTACAAGTGATCTTCATGTTTTTTCACACCTACCCTCCTTAGTACTTTAGTGAAAGTAAAAGAATTTATCACCGTACCAATATAATAAACACCTAACAATGACTACGAGTAAGTTACGAATTATTTTTCAAAATACGCGCGGGCTCAGGACTAAATTACTGGATTTTTATCGTCACATTGAGGCTAATTCGTACGATATAATTATAATAAACGAAAGTTATGTGAGGGAATTTTAGACAATGAAATATGTGATAATCGTTTTGATGTGTTTAGATGCGACCGCCCTGCTTCTCGGAAGGGTGGTGGAGTTCTACTTTGTATAAGACGAGATCTTTCGGCCGTAGCAAGGACCGACATAAACACGGGTTGTGCGGAATCGGTGTGGGTAACAATAAATAATGCATTCTCAACGTTCAGTTTACACCTCGCAACGGTCTATATACCTCCATCTAAAAATTCTCATGTTATGCTAAATGATTTTAGAAACTCATTTGCAATGCTTCACTCGGCTTTCCCAAATGACACGTTTTTAGTTATTGGAGATTTTAACCTCCCTTTCATTGCATGGAGGAAAGACGGACACCACGTGGGCCATGCATCTTATGCCGAATTAAGCACAGCAGCAGGTGATTTTGTCGATTGTTTGGATTATATGGGTATGACCCAATATAATTTAACACCCAATGGCAGTGGCAACGTGTTAGATCTTGTTATTTCGAATACAATATTAGAATGTAAGCAAAGTGATTCATCGTTGGTGAAAATTGACAAGTACCACATTCCACTTGAAATCGAGATATCAGATTACGTTTTTAAGCCAATTTCAGGGCAAACCGCGATCAATTAGATTTTTTTTTAAAGCCAATTACGATAAAATCAATGAGGAGCTATGTAAAAAAAACTGGAATCAATATTTGGGCTCGAATAGTGTCGACGTAATGGTAGATAACTTATACAAAGAATTAAATTCATTAATTAACCTTCATGTACCCTCAGTCAGCATATCTGGCATGTTCAATTATCCAAAATGGTACCCAAATTCGCTCATCAACGTTATTAAAGAAAAGTCCAGAATTCATAAAAAATGGAAAAGGTTCAGGAATCCTTGCGACTACGCGGAATTTTCACTCCTAAGAAAAAGGGTAAAGTACCTCCAAAACGATTTCTACACCAAGTATATAGAAAGATGTGAAAGAGACATTAAAAAATCTCCGCAAGACTTCTGGAAGTTTATTAAGAGCAAAAGGAAGACCTTGGGCTACCCAAGCCATATGTCTTATGACGGAACTACCTTCTCCAGCGGTGAAGACATTTGTAATGCTTTTAATTCATTTTTTCATAGCGTTTTTCAACAACCCGATCCCGCTGAAACCGTAATTTGTCCGGAATCCCCCTACGCATCAAATATTTACTCTGTTGTGGTTACTACCAAGGCTTTAAAAACCGTTTTTAGTAAAATAAACCCGAAAAAAGGCGCAGGTTTGGACGGCCTTCCAGCCGTGTTTATAAAAAAATGTCAAACTGGTTTACTCGAACCGCTTAAAATTATATTCCAGAAGTCGTTAAACGATGGTATATTTCCTACACGATGGAAGGACGCTCAAATTGTACCAATTCACAAAAAAGGTTCTAAAAATGACATAAAAAACTATAGAGCGGTTTCTCTACTTAACAACTTTGGCAAAATGTTAGAAAAAGTAGTTTATGAGCACATATACAGCACCGCGCAGCATTGCCTACCGTCAACACAACACGGCTTCATTAAACGTCGTAACGTCAACACCAACCTTCTAGAGCTAAGTAACTATATAACATCTAACATACGGGATGCGCAGATCGACGTGATTTACACAGATTTTGAGAAGGCATTCGACCGGGTACATTATGGGGTCCTTATTGCAAAATTAAATGCCGTGGGAATAAAAGGTAACCTTTTGCGATGGCTGGAATCCTATTTGAGAAATAGGCGTCAGGCGGTAGTGATAGGCGGTTATAGATCGGACTATGTAGATGTCACCTCGGGGGTGCCTCAAGGATCGCTATTATCGCCTTTATTATATAATATCTATCTTTATGATTTACCAGATTGCCTACATCATTCAAAACATCTTTTGTATGCAGATGACAAAAAATTTTTTCGCATAATCAATAAACACGACGATTGCTTACTACTTCAATCTGACCTAGACCGACTAACTGACTATTATCAACTCAATAAAATAAGTGTTAACGCTCAAAAATGCCAAATAATTAGCTTTACTCGGAAAAAACACCTTATCAGCTATGACTATAGCATAAGCTATGAGTCTATTCCCAGAACATCACAGATAAGGGACTTAGGTGTTATTTTAGACAGTAAGTTTACATTTAAAGTACACGTTGATCAAGTAATCAGTAAGGCCTATAAATCACTGGGGTTTGTCATACGCAATAGTAAACCGTTTAAAGACCTACATTGTCTTAAGGTTCTTTATTACAGCTATGTTCGAAGTGTCTTGGAATTTGCAAGTATCACCTGGAGACCATTTCTAAAATCTCAAATAGGCTTAATTGATAGAATACAACAGAAATTCATTAAACACTTAAACTATAAAGCCCAAGTAAAAAACATGACATATGAGCAATCATGTCAATATTACAAAATAAATACACTGGAAGATCGACGCCAAATCGCAGACATGATGTTCTTGTACGACATCCTCAACAATAAATTTGACTGCAACACATTTTTAGAGCAAATTAATTTTAGTGTTCCTTCGCGCCGTACCCGACATACATCATTACTCGCAACCCCATCTGCAACAACCAACTACATCAAAATGACACCATTCATCCGTATTCCACATATATACAATATCGGTTTCTCATCTCTGGATCCCTTTAACACTCCCCGAAATTCGTACAAAAATAAAATTATTCAGATTTTGTCCCAAGCACAAGAATTGCCACAAAAACATACCATCACACTTTGAACATCCCACACACGCTATACAAACACCACTCACCACATTCACTTACACACACTACTCCACATTCACTTACACACACCACTCCACATACAAACAACATTATTGCTATCTGTGTAGCTATATTTGAGATGCACAGTTTTAGGTATATTCATACAGAATTGTTTACTCTTGCTGTGTATTTACCTTCAATTAATTGTGTACTTCGTAATTGGCGTATTGTTCGACTATTATTATGTAAAATATATACTGTCAGCTGTGAAGAACCTAAGTATTAAATAAATAAATAAATAGAACCATATAAGTATGTTTATCAACAATCTGGTTAGTAGTGTCCAGTACAGGCTCTGCCTACTTTGGGATCAAACGGCCGAGTGTGAGATGTGTGATGTTATTATTATGAAAGAATAGGCCAAGTACGTACCTGCTCAGACATGGTCTTCAAAATATTTTCATAGAAGAAATCCTTCAGCCATGACCACTCTGACTTCATCAGATAATCGTACACATCGAAGTCGTCCAGGAGCAGGGTGTTCTCCACACGGTGAACCATCATGCTCACCTGCAAAATACAAATATCGTTCCTAAGGGCATTTGGCCTCTCGAATCAATGCAGAATTTTACTTTTTTTTTCGTTCTATTGCAACCAACACTGTTCTATTTTAACCAAACTGACGAATAGTGATTGTTTTATTTTATTAACTATTATTTAAATCTAACATTTATTTTACATATTTTTTAACTTTCTGCTCTCCTTCTCCATAGGAACTTTAAATGCCCGGTAACTTTCACTCCTTTCCCTAAAGTCTCATTTAATAAGGAATTTAAATAACTTACGGTCCCATTAGGCTGGTACGGTAACTTCAGCAGTTTCTTGATGCATTCTGCTCCTGATATCACATCCACTTCCCCAACACAGTCGGGGAACATGTGCGCCATCCTGAAGCTGAAGAAAAAGAGTTTCATCGCTATTAAAGGTACTCTATACAAATTTAAAAACAAGCTATGCTGGCCAGGTTGAATAGAGCTTTTTGTTTTACTGGCTGGCTAGCACAACCTTGCTTAGACAATCATATATATTGGTAAGTAGAGATAATACCCTTTTCTTTAAGTAAGCCACTATAAATAGAATACATAAAAATTTTATTGTTAAATCTCTTTAAAACATAAACCTAAACCACATATACGTATATATGTGTGTAATTTACACAGTACATTAACTGAAATAATATTAACCTGAAATGTATCCGTGTGGTGATGGATTTAGAATATACAGAATGTCACCACCCCTATTCATCCCGTGGGTGTCGTAAAAGCCAACGACGGGCGTAAACTACGCAGAACAACAGCACTGCAAAGAAAAGTAAAACTTGAAACAAACCCTATACCACCTCGTCTCGCCAGTGCGGGATAGTAGGCCACAACCTCCTTTCTAAGGAGAGGCCTATGTCCAGCAGTGGACTACTAAAGGCTGTTGATGATGATGATGACGATGCAATAAATCCAAATATACATAAAAAAAAAGTAAGTTTATATGTTATTTTTCTGGTGGTCCTTTTATTTTTCTCTCAAATGCATGATTTCGTCTAGAGGTGAATGCTAAGTAAATTGAATGATACTGTTACATTCAATATGAAGTCACAACAAAGAATATCGAAATCTATAAATGAATATTTCTTCTTTTTTGTTTTCGTATGAATACTACTACTACTACTGTAGTAAATTACCTAGAAAGTCCTGTGCCTCGAGTCAAGATCTGCCTTAGCCCGTACGAGTCTATTGCCGCTCCCCAGTTCGATGGAGGCATGTTCAGGTCTGTATTACATTGTAGCCGTGCATACCCAACTGGACTTTGGAAAGCTGTATACTTCACAACCGCTGTTGATTTGATGCCTGGGGATGGGCTTCGGCTCTGCAAATAAATTTATTTTTGTTTAACTAAGCATGTACACACAAATACTTGACATACCGGAGCAACCTGGTCAAAACGTCAGGCAATTCTATTATGTAAGTAACACTAAATTATAGTTAGCAAAATATAGAGGTTTAAATTAGACGTGAGTATATGTATATTATACAACTGCCCACTCCTTTGAAGATTAGATGTGAGTATATGTATATTTTACAACTGCTCCCTCCTTTGACAATTAGACGTGAGTATATGTATATTATACAATTTAAAGTGAATCTATTTTTAGTGTTGTATAAAGGTTAACTGTTCCCTTTGGCGGGAAACTAATATTTATATTCATCTTCTTCACATTACTATGTTTTTTGTTTACTTTGTATATTTTATATCTAAAATGAAGTTGCTATTTTCACTTGGATCGCTAGTTACTAATAACTGTATATTAATGAATTCAAATGTTTTAAAGTTAGTTTATTATATACTTTTGAACTACCTGATGTCTCAACCAGGTTGCACTCACACTCACACTCACAGGCAGTGCACCCCAATTCCCAAACATATACCAGTTTCCAAAGTTACACCTAATTATAATATTTTAATATTTATTTAACATTGGTAAAAGAAATAAGAGTTACACTATTAAAATAATATTCATAAGGAATTAAATTTCATGAAGTGTTTGTGGTGTGTCTACATGATTGTTGTTACGTTTTAGTAGAGTTGCTACTATATAATTCTGAAAATTCTAAGTAAAAGAAGTCATTCAAATGACAAAGATTAAAATTTTCAGTGATTGTGAAATCAAAATGTTTAACATTCACATGTAATCTAATTTAAATAGTTTATTATTGTTTGTACATGTGCTGGAGAATCTAAAAAAAAAATCCTTCAAACTGTTATAACTTAAAATTTGATACACAAGTCAAACATGGAACCAAATTTTATTATTGTGTGACCATTAAATGATTGAAATAGTTGTAAGAGTTGGTTTGATTAAATTGACCAAGTAAACATTTGATACACTAAGGATAGACTTCTTCTAAATTGTATTTTTTTTTTGTGTTTAAAATGCCGACATACATGAAGTGATATGAAAACTTTTCATAAATAAATAGGTACTATAAAACTCTTGTAAATCAAATTTATTGTTTTATTAATTTATCCCCGTTTCTTAAACTTAGGTTAAAAATATCGTAAAGCTAGGCACAAAATCAGCTGGCCTGTGGTTGTGTAAACTGTAAATTTCTAGAAAAAACATCTGTTTATTACCTTCGTCCGTTTTACTTCGCTGTCGTTTTCTACGTCTTCCATTTTTCAGGTATTATAACCAATACATAAAATAGTTACACAACAGTAACGTCTTCAATTTTAATAAGAATTTTATTGTTTAACGTGGGTTTGGAATGTGTTTATCCCGTCCTTTTGCAGGTAGCTCGTACTTCAAAACACATGTGTGTAAAGAGATAAGTCTTAACGCAGAAGGAATAGAGGCTGTTCTACAAAATAAATAAACTGCAAAATGACACACTAATATAGCATTGCCATATATAAGAATTCACTCAGACGACTATCGATAATTGATCACAAATGGTCTCTCGACTTTCAAATAGCGTATTAGCTAAAAAAAAATTTTGAATATAGCTGCTTACAAGAAGTTATAAAATTATTAAGACCTGATATTTGCATTTTAGGACAACAGCACTACAAAGAGAAGAAAAGTTTGAAATAAACCATACACCAACCCGTCTGGCTAGCTCAAACCTTATTTGTTAGAAGAGGTCAGGTCCAACAGAGGACTCGGGGGGGGTCGTCTACTCGTCTGTAGATGACCCGAGGTATGTCGGGGCACCAGGGACTTCCTTTCTAGGGTATACCTGGTTCCCCGGCTATTAGTACCCGGCGACGGCGTGCGGTTTTAGTCGGTTCGAGTCCGACATGCCGCCGACAGGTGGTATCCGAGGGGATTTCCGCACGGAAAAAAAAAAAAAAAAATGTCCAACAGAGGACTACCAAAGGATGCTGATGATAATAAATTTAAAGCCATTCGTATCAAAACGTTTAGACTTTAAAACTGTTCTTCTTCTTATCGTGTCGATGGCAACACGTTATAAGGTTTTGACCCAGTGCACGGCGATGCGAATGGCGTTTGGCCTTGCTTGATACAAGTCGTCAAGCGTACACCGGGCACGTTCCAGCCTGCAGATATTAAAATTTCAAAATAAAAAAAATCTCATTTTATAGATCTCAATTAGCCCTTTCGACCTACGTTAATTAATTTATAAGCCCGTTTTTCGTTTTCCCAGGAAAAATAGAAATATAATTTTCAATTTTCCTCTACTTAAAATAGCCATATCTCTTTGAAAAATGATTATTTTTTACTCTACCAAGCATGAAAAAATTGCCCTTGCGCTAATTTAATTTGCCCGCGTGCTAATTCTTAAAAATATTCAATAATTATTATTGTAAACAATAACAGACAGAATAATGACAGAATAAAGGTGATACTCACATCATCAACTGCAAATCAGCTAATGCTACTCGCACGGAAGGACTTTAAAAAATATTATATTACTGTTTCGGGAAGTTTTTCAGTACTATTGGATTCATTATTATGTGCCTTTGGTAGTTTTTAATAATGCTAATCTGTGACTTTGTCAGTTCAGTTGTCACTTGTCAGTTGACACTTATCTATTTGTTCCGCGTGGTAAATAAATAGTTTTATAATTAATACAGTGTAGCTGTCATAAGTCTTAAATCTATATTGCATAGCGTTTAGAAAAAAAATGGTTAAGTTCGGCAAGCACAAATTCAAAGCACTAAACAAACTTGCTAAAAACCAGAAATTAGCAAATACTTCAGGCTTATCCAACAAGATACTGAAAAAGAAAATCAATGCAGATAAAAAGGTGACTTTTCAAAAAGAGATTTTACTGAATGAGCTACCAGCACTTGATAACAATACACTTGTGAAAAATGTAACTGCGAAAGATATAATCCACAGTGAACGAACTAAAATATCTGGGAAGAAGAAAACACTGGAACAGACACAAAAGCCGAAACAGAAGCCAGTCGAAAAACATAAAAAACGTCAAAAAACACAAATAAATGATACTAAACTATTGTTAAGTTTAATGAAGAAGAGTAAATAAGTTTCCTTTGTAATAAATCATCATTTATTTATTCCACAAAAATCCATTAATATTATTATGAGCATGAATAAGTAAGTTTTTAACTCAATTTATACTCATTTGAAAGTATTGTTAGTTTGATTGCCTATAGTTAGTTATTTATACCATTAAAATTTGTTTATCATTAACAATATTTACCTATATCGCAGAGACTTAAAAACAAGCAATGAATGGTGATCTGAGAATAAAATTATTAAAATACTTTCATTGGTTGCTTTACGTTATTTGTAGAGGAAATGGAATATAATTATTTGTGTAGATACCGATTACATGCTGCTTATTATTAAATGCTGAGGTAGGAAATTGGACCTACTATGCAAAAAGAAAGAATCAATCTACACATAATTGAGTTAAGTATGCAGAAAGCTTTTAAAATGTACTTTCTATCGACCCTGTAAGGATCAAAATGATCCGACAACTTTGACAGAACGAAACATTTTTATGACAAGTTTACCAACCCAGATTAAACCAATAGTTCAATGAACTAACAAGATCCATGTGCCCTGACAACTGGATTATCTTAAAAAGTTTGTGAATTTTCTCCTTCTTAAAGAAATGGCAGAACGGTCTAATCCATAGTTAAGTATACCTCATATTCAGGTTTTCATAGTGTATGAATAAGATATGTCTATGTATCTATATAAATATACTAGTATATATATGTATGTGTATCTATGCGTATTTGTGATATGTAAGTGTAGTATGTGTGTATATGTTTATATATGTAGTGAACCATATATATTTTCATGGTACATTTAATATTATGATGTAACCTCTGTGCACCTACCTTACAAGATTTCTACATTACCCAAAGGTTGACTGGAAGAGAATGCCCTGGGCATTAAGTCCGCCGATGTACAAAAGTGCATAAAGATAAATAAATTATTCCTTTTTTTCAAAAGGAGCACTGCCACATGGTTACTTGTATTTATTTTAAACTTTAGAACCATGCAGGTTGGTTTTTTATTTAAATAGACACATTACTTGGTGCCTTATTAAAATTATTCTATTTACAACATCAAAGGTATTGTCGTTTGAATTTGTGTAGTATTATGAATTTGAAATGGATGAATGAATGAATAGTGAATCGGGGAATAACTTTCTCCCGAACAATTCAAACTTCAAGGATATTGAATGTACCCTAAACCATTGAGTTAAAACAACACTAGAGAAGCAAACCTCATTATCACACGTCGAAAAAAGTGTAACCACTTTTGAACTTTGACGACGTAGCTTTGATACCACTAAACATTTGAAAGTAAACATATTTATGTCTCATTTACACGCGAGACAAGAACAATACCATCGCTCGGATTAGACAAAGACAAAGATATAACTTTACGATGGTGGGCCAGTGTTGACTACCGTATGAAATTTTACCCATAACAACTAAGAAACAATTTTTTTTAAAACAATTTTGTAATAAAATAAATGAATTTAAATATTCTAAATAATATATTTCGAATTGAATAGAATAGGTATAAATAATAAAATAACTGGAAATATTTGGTTAAAAGGGTTTATATTCAGTGTAAAATCAAACTGCGCTGTGAAGCATCAGTTTTGTATACAATTGTCTTTTAGACTCTTTTTTATAAGCTTGTGTGGATATTTTACTTTCATGAAACAATCTTATTTTTACGTATGTAAAAATAATAGCATTTAATAATAAAAGTGAATGATCAACTTGTACTGATAATTAATAATCCCCAGGGTGTATTGCAAATTCTATTATAATTTAAAAAACAAATAAAAAAAAAAAAAAAAATTTTTATTTTATAAAAAAAATTATTTATGTTTATTTACTTTTTTATTTTATATTTTTATTTTTATGATAAACATTTATTATTATTATTATTTTGTACAATTATTATTTAAAATTGATAATAAATTAAGAAAAACAATGAATTAATTTTTTTGTACAAAAGTCTGCAGCACTGCGAGCTTGGCACTTCTGCCAAGCTCGCAGTGAACGTTCAACGGGTCCCTAAAAAAAGGGATCGGTCCAGCCCTAACAACTACCGTTCTTCCTATATTTTATTATTATTGGCAAAATATTTAAAAACAGTATAAAGCATATTATTTCATAAATTATAAATTCTCCCACTAATGTGGGAAAACCAAAATGATTTTTTAATGGTAACACTGATTCTAAATTACAATTATCAGTGTTTTATTTCAATTATAGCCTTATTTACGATATTATCAATACAAAAACCATAAACTTACACGTGAAAAGTAATTCCGCATGATTTAATAAGGTTTTGTGACCTTGAATCGCATTCTTTCACTACGCATTTAGCCATTTTGGCGATTGTTACTGTCATGTGTCGCTATGTTCAACTTGGTTGACGCCACATTGAATAATGAATTGACGTTTGCTACGCATATGCCTGTGGACATATGTGCAGTAGCAACGATTTTAGGCGGTAATTACTCATCTATGTAAGTATTATATCAATGCCCTAAACCGTCAACAGAGGCTCTATATGTTATGGCAACTCGTAAGATAAATCCAATGCATGAACATAGGACTGGATTTAGATAGATAAAGTATGAACAAAGGCCGGCTGCTAAAAGCAATCTCTTGCCGACTTATGGATGAACAAATCGACATTAAATGAGGATCATGGGTAGTTCTGGTCATTAGGTATAATAATATAAACAATGTGTTTCTAGACTGATTTATTAATTAATTAGCAGCGCATCCTGACATGTAAGGACTTAGACAATATATTGAAATATACCATGTCCATCTGGATCGAGTAAATTTCTAATGTTGTAAAACATTCAATAGGTGTTCGGAGACTTCTTTTTCATACTCGAAACAGTTGATGCGCATATATATTCTATACATGTATAATTAAAGATAATGACAAACAGATCTCTAATATATGTATTTTTTTTTTTCATAAACAGAACGAAATAACATCAACCAGTTAACAGCAGTCTGGATTATATTATTCAGCATTACTTTGAGTCATCACTAACTTCAGGATTGTTATTGCCATAAATATATATATATATATATAGGTAATAAACAGAAATCACTCCTCATTTGAGACCATTTTCGAAGAAATTTCTAAATATTTTTTTATAATTATTAAGTTAAACAATAATGGTCAATATCATACAATTGCTAGTGTTACAAAGAGTTACAAATTGACAAGTTAATTTTAGGTTTTTATCGCCCAAACCTACTAGTGCGACGTCTTATTACTACTATGATACACTCATGGTGTAAAACAATTTTAATCGAACAAATATAATCAAATTTTTAACATTTAATTAATATGCAACAGTGTTACTGCTGTCGGAGTTGTTCCGTGAAGTGAATAGCAATAGGTTTGCTATTATTATGTATCATTATATTATGAAGATGTTGTTGGTAATTTATTTGCAATGAGGTATTCATCAACTCAACAACAACAACTCCAACTTCAAAGAATATCTGAAAAGATTGACTTAGTTTTTTTTTTTATCAAGTTTTAATTTGATTATATTGGTTGCTTATGGATTATATGTAGTATTGAAAGTAGATTTAGACTATAATTTTTTACATATCTAATTTAAACAAAGTAAAAAAAGTATATTTTTTTACTATTGTTCGAAAATCTGAAGAATATAGAGATTAATAAGTAAACAAAATTTAATTCACTAAAAATATCATTTAGCTCATGCTAGATTTATGGTTGTGTAATTACTTCTAACGAGTGCCTAACATCGAAAGGGTTCTAGGGAAAAAAAGGATTAGGCTGGTAAAACTTATTATATTTTTTTTATTTTGCTAGATATAGGTTTTTTTCCATATGTTCTATGAAAAAAAAATCAGCAACTTTTTTTAAATATAGTGATCGTTACGTTAAGTATATAATCAACCGATCGATGGAAGTTCAGAAACGTAATCTATCGTAATCTTAAACTAAGCAGTGAGTGTTATAAGGTCGCTCGTCCAGAGCTAGTACCGGCCTCGGGCACGACCGCGGCCGCGCCCGCGACCACGTGGCGAGGCGCGCGGAGTGTCCCCGGAGGGGGCGGGGGCGGAGGGAGCGGCGACGGGTGCGGGGGGCGCGGGCTTCTCGACCTCTTGTGGCGCAGGTTTCGGCGACTCCACAGGCTTCGGCTTCTCCTCCTCCACCGGCTCGACCTCCTCTACTTTTTCTGAGTTCGAATGAAATATACATTTTAAATTTGAATACGAAGCGAAGTCAACATTGATCATGTCAGACATTAAACCGTTCGCATTACACCTATGACATCCAGGATTTATCCTGAATTTCATTCTAACTAATGAATACCCTCTACTACTACTCTACCTTTAACCTCATTCAAAATCATTGGAATTTTCTGCCAGAAAATTATACGAATTATGCATACAACTGTCCAAGGTTAATATCGTTTCCAGTAGATATCGCATAAAAGTAATAACTACATATATATTCCGTATTGTATTCCATGCAAACAGGCTACGCACACTAACATAAGTTGACGTCCCGGGGTGAGGCCCCGAGCTTCAGCTGTTTGATTAATTAATTACATTGCAGTTTTTAACCGTATGCAGCATTTACTAAATAGTTTTCCGTAAAACAGTTTACTCATTGTGATATCATTTTCATCATTTTTTACAAAAAAATGATAAATTTTTCGGCAGAAAATTCCAATGATTTTCGATTTAGAATGATGGTCTGAATAGACTGTTTTAGTATACGTTACGACGGTATAAGGGATTATACTCTATATATAAAATTAGTATGATAATCATTAATTAAAACGGTTATTTAAATAGATATATAAAAAGACACTTATGTTGTGAATTTCAATAAATAAAATTATAGACACAAATTGTAAAATTAAGAATTACTAACCAGATATTGTTTCTTGTTCATCTTCAAGTATCTCATCAACAGTCTGCTCCCAATTCTCGAGCTCATCAGCCGGAGGCAATCCCGCATTGCCATCATCTTGATCCTCATTCTCGTCTGTATTTTCATCTGTAAATAACACATATATTACATACTATATTTTAATTTAAACTATTAATTAAGTAACATTGGTGGCGGCCTCAGCATTTGCGAGGCCCCGGGTGGGGAGTTCCTTGTTGTTGTGGAATTAGTTTTAATGATGATAATTGAAACTAAAATGCAATAAAACATATACTGCTGCTTGAACATCAAAGTCTAATTCAACGACAGTTGAGACTAAAAGTCTGTCAACATGACAAGCGAAATGAAACACAAGAGATCCCCATTGCAAGGCTCCTGCATGAGCCAAAGACCGCCTCTGAGTAATAATAATAATATTATATTTATTTGTCAGAATATTGTTGAGGTACAGATGTTAGACATAATATGACATCCATAATATTCTGCTGTTTCCAGCGTACAAATATTTCCAGGAAGGATTAGTAAATACAATGTCAAGAATTATTAAATATACTTGAGGATTATAAAATACAATGTATAAAATTATTCAAAGCAATGTTATAGGTATTAAATTGAATTTAATTATTGAGAATATAAAGGCAAGTCGTCATCTAATTTATAATTTGAATCAAATTTTTCATTTATAAACTCTTTGTTGAGTAGTAACACTTATACAATAGGAAGTCAAATAATTTCTTTTTAAATGTCATGAAGTTAAGGTTTTTAAAAACATTAGATAATTTATTATAAACACGAATTGCCCATACAGTAAACATTATTAGCAAATAATTTAATCCTTTGTTGGGGTACACTTAATTTGTGGATATTTCGGCTTTTTCTTATAACAACATCATTATTTACTGGAAATAAAGCTTAATTTCATGTACAATGATACAGAGTTCGAATATGTATAAAGATGGGAGTGGTAATATTTTTAAATGTTTGAAGAGTGGGACACAGTTTTCTAATGGTTGGGCTTTATTCAAGTCTGACATAACCACCGGTGGGTGGTTCAGCGGGGGTTTCCAATAAGAAAAAAATGAACAGACAAGTCACTTGATGGTGAACGACTACTGCCACCTATGGTCACACACAAGTGTCCTCCCTCTTACCCAAACATAAGAGGGAGGGTTTTCTTCTAGAAACCTAACTAACTGGTGAAATACAACAAAAGAATTGCTTAGCCTAGCCAGGCCATGTATGTATTGAAAATAAATTACTTGGCAATTGCTAAGTGTAGTATAATATCTCATTATTACATAAATAATTTAATTTTCATCTCATTAGAAATGAAAATGTATTTCGAATTCTGTCCATGTGGTGACTGATTAAGAATACAGAGTATCACCACCCCTATTCATCCCGTGGGTGACGTAAAAGCCGACTAGGGGAGAAAACTACGCAGAACAACAGCACTGCAGGGAGAAGGAAAACTTGACACAAACCTATAGACTATACCAACCCATCTGGTCAGCGTGGTATAGTAGGCCAAAACCTACTTTCTAAGGAGAGGCTTATGTCCAGTAGTTACTATTAAAGGCTGTCGATGATGATAATTTGGAATTAACAATCAAACACTGTTTTATATAAAAAGATTGAAGCAATACTGAATAAACAACAATTAAGGTGCAGTATTAAACAAGTACAATACAGCCTATGAAAGAAATAACAAATGCTGCTGCTACTTCATATGAAAAAGATATATTTAATAAAACATATTTACTTACTCTTCATTTCCTGGTCATTGTCATCATCATCATCATGTCCATTTTGATCATCAGTGGGTTCTGTCTTGCGACGCTTGAAATTGCCGTCATCATCGGGATTCAGAGCCCGCTTGCTGGAAGCACTGGTTGACTCTTCGCTTTGCTATGGAACAAACATTTGTTGTTTAAAAAGTTAGTTTGTTTATTGTTTAAATCAAAACTAATCACAATGAAATGCCTCTTGTTAGTCTTTGGTGCTTGTAATGGTAATGCTATAAAAAATTGGGCTGTTGAAACCAACCTGTTTGTTGCTCTTGTCCGCGAGTAGCCTAGTGAAGAGCTGGTGATGTCTCCATGTACGGAGATGTACAGCACCCGTCTCCTCACTGTCCAACAGCTTGCGGCACAGGCGACACTGGACACAGCGGAATTCGGAGAGGAACGACTTGCCTACACCACGCTCAGTGCTGGGGAACCAAAGAAATTTATTGTTAACTATAGTGGAATCGTCTGTACCATATTGCAAAAATATTATATTAATGTTACTTCCTGATGTCAATAGAGTAGTAACAGATTTATGAACGCATAGGAAGGGAGTGTTTAGCAGTTCCAATGCTGCAGTTAATGATTAGGTAAAAGAGATTACAATAAAATTAATAAAATGTACATATTTGTACCTGGTCAAAACTTAACTATATAAAATGATTGCTAAAACCAACTTTACCTGTATGCCGGGAATTGGTCCTTGGTGATGTTAGATATATCATCGCCCTCTTGATAGTCTACAATTGTGTTTTCATTGTCAATACTCTCTTTCTTCTCCTCTGTCTCTTCTTTAACTTCACCATCTCCTTCCTTCTTGACACCTTCGGTATCCTCCTAGGAATAAATAAATATAAAGAAACTAGTTATCAATACATTACATATTCTAACCAAAAACTACATTTTACTATACAGCCATTTAAAGGTGATAAAGCCACCCCACTGGTATTTTTGTTTGTGTTGTGCATTGTATGTTTCCTATACATGGTGTGCAATAAAGATAACCTTTCTATCTACATTTACATAATAAACGCTATAATTTATCGTCGCATCTTTACACTGGGGAAATATTGATAGTCATCTTTACAAAGGTTTTGTTCTAAATCATGAAATCTTAAACTTTTTAAAGCTTCTGAAGAATCATCAAGAACATTCTTGAAACTAAACTGAGGAATCCTAATCACTCACACAAAATAAACATAAAATTGACTATTTTAGGGATAAGCAGTGAAATATTCCTATGTGTCAATACATATGAAACGAAGATTACCATAATGCACATAAAAATATACAAAAAAGATACACCTAACCATACAAACATATGCAAACAATTTTAAATTGAAAATAAGTACCTGATTCTCTCCATCTCCATCCTTCTCATGGTCATCTTCCTTCTCAGCTTCACGACGCTCCTCGCCGCGACGACGACGCTGGCGATCCTCCCTCAGGTACAACTGCTCCATGTTCAAAGTTGAAATAACCATCACTGAGAACAATATCATAATATAAAGTTGAGTCACAGGGTCTTAACGTGTTAAAAATTCATTTATGAGGTCGGCAATATGTGTGTGCCTTAATTTCGAATTGCTTTTTAATAAAAGGAAAGAAAATCAGAAAGCTTATTTATCATTGACCTATTAGTTTCAACAAAACTGACAAACTCGCAGGGTAGTTTAATCCAATAGAAGATCCTGGTAAAAGGACAAGAGAAGTGTCAAATGATCTTCGTGAAATTAGCGTATCTATCGTCAGTTTCGGTCAAACTCCATTCGGAAACTTTCCTTTTGGGAATTCACCCAGACTGAATAACAAACAATCGTTAACGATAGACATAAATATCGTAAGGGTTATTAGTGATGTCCCTAGACTCTTTAAGATAAACAAAAGACCAATCCCTAAAAAAAAGAGGATGATATTTGAGACAGTACTACTAACACAGTGTTGTGTCTGTTGATGAGCGCCATCATCACTACAAAGTGAATGAAGCATAGGGATGTATAAATAGATGACAAAGCATTATATTTACCTTCGGGCTTCGGCTTGGCAATAATCTCCTGCTTATCCTGCATATTCCTGAGATGCTCCGCAGTCAAGCGATGTTCGTCAAGCTCAATCCTCGTCGGCATTTCCTTGTGGCAAGAGGTGCAAGTTGGGTGGAGGTACTTCTTGAGCTTGCGATGTCCAACGGTGGTGCGGTGTATAGCGCCGTCGGCCGCGTACATGTCGCACATCGCGCAGTAGAAGTCTCGCGTTGGCTGTTGGCCAGCCTTACGCGTGCGTTTCATTTCGCGGATCTGTAACGAGTACATTTTACTAATATGTATGTATTTCATATTATAGTTTAGCCAATGTCAAATTAATTTAGCAATACACATGTTGATTTTAAATTAAGAAAATATATAGTGATTTTCACTGATAACGACCTCTGTTGTAACGACTTTTCGGTTATAGCGACGTCAGACTTACGTGCCTTGATTGTGGAGTGTTCTAAATCAAAATCCTTGAAAAAATATTGATATTGTAAATGCACTCCTATTGGGGTTTAAAGTGGTCAGTCAAAAAGTGTGTATGCATGTGTCTAATAAAGCTAATGCTACATCTGAAGTGGTACTTCTGTTTACGTATAATTTTTATATTTTATAATTTGTTTCATCAATCTCAAGGCTTTTTAATTTCTGTGATGATGATGCAGTAGAAACCCACCTTGAATTCCTGCCTCATGGTGTCAGCAGTAAGTGCATAGCTCTCTGCTGTCTTCTGCATCATAATAGCGTGCGCGCGCCCGCTCAGATGGTTCTCGAATGAGCGCCCATCCCACATGCTCTTGTTACAAATGTGACACTTCAACAGCTGAGGATTGATGTCATCATAACGGGTCTTCGGTGGCTCCTTCTTGGTGTTCTCGTCCTTTTCTTTGTCATGGTCTACTTCTTCAGCGCCAGCATCAGTTTCACTGCGGAGCTCTCGGTTAGTTAGCTTTTTGTATATGTATGAAGCGAGGCTATCTAAATAACTATGTAGAGTAGAGTCATAATGCAGGTGTCTAATACGAGTTTCAAGTACGTCAAATAATAACTAAATTTAAAATTGTGCACAGATTTAATTTGGTTTAGTGGGTTTATAAAATTAAAGTAAAGTTTTATTACTCGATTAATGTTGAAAAAAGACTACAACAAAATTAGTTTTTCTTTTTGTTTTGTTTTAGTTGTTCGACACGCAGTACAGTAGTATTAAATGCATAATGGTCTGTTACGAGCTGGGAACTAAATTTCAATCACATTTGACATGTTTAGTTCAGTCGTACAAAAAATCATAAATGGTATAATTTTTTTTATTTAAGCAGAAGTTTACGTACACCGTACATATCCTAAAGTCAAGGTCTGGTATTTATTATAAATTGATTGTAGATTGTAAATATATAATATTTTAAATAATCCAGTTCCAATAATAGCCAATTGAACTAGTAGTAAGTGATCCTGACTGCTGAGCCGAAGGTTGTGGGTTCGATTCCCACCCAGAGCAAGTGTGTGGAAGAACAAGGTTGTAATTTATACGAGGGGTGATCAATAAGTAATGATAATCGAGTATTTCTAGAACGCACAAAAACCCAAATTATTTTTTTTCTGCTTGCTTATATATCCACTACTTCAGCTTCAAAAAAATGTATAAATAGGACACCATTACCGGGAGATACATTCATTTGAATACGAACTGTCGAAGAGAAAACATCAAAATGGAGAAAAATGAAATAAGAGCTGTCATCAAGTACCTCTGCCTGAAAAAAATGTCTACCAAAGACATACACAGCGACTTAGAGGAAACATTGGGGGAGTCTGCTCCTCCATATTCCACAGTCGCACGCTGGGCAAAGGAATTTAAGCTGGGCAGAACCTCCACTGAAGATGAACATCGCGAGGGACGCCCTTCCACGTCCCTTACTGGAGAAAACGTCAAAAAAGTGGAAGATATCGTGTTGGCCGATCGAAGGGTGACCGTAAGGCATGTAGCATTCAAATGGCATGGCAGCGTTCAAAAAATCATTGTCAACAAAATGCATATGAAAAAGGTCTCTGCGCGTTGGGTACCGAGAATGTTAACCGACGAGCAAAAAAAGAAACGAGTCGACATTTCGAGGGTGAATCTTCAAAAGTTCCAGGCCGATAAAGAATTTTTTTTTGTCGCGTTTTGTGACCATGGACGAGACCTGGATCCACCACTTTGATCCCGAAACCAAACAACAATCAATGACTTGGAAACGAGCTTCCTCACCAACGCCGAAGAAATTCAAAGTGTCAAGTTCAGCGGGAAAGGTTATGGCGTCTGTTTTCTGGGATGCAGAAGGAATTATTATGGTGGAATATTTGGAAAAGGGGGCCACTATAACAGGCTCTTACTACGCAGGCCAAATAAGAAAATTGCGAGAAGCTATTAAGTCAAAAAGACGCGGTAAGCTGCGCCCTGGAGTGCTGTTTCACCAAGACAACGCCCCGGCTCACAAAGCCGCAGTTGCGATGGCTGCCATTGAAGAAACGGGGTTCGAACTGCTCGAACACCCTCCCTATTCGCCAGATCTAGCTCCCAGTGACTTCTACCTCTTTCCTCGGCTCAAAGAACACCTCCGGGGCAACAAATTTGAGGACAATAGTGAAGTGATGGCCGCAGTAGAGGCATTTTGGGAGGGTCAAGACAAAGAATTTTTTTCTAAGGGAATCATGGGCTTAGAAAAAAGATACACTAAATGTATTAACTTGCAAGGAGACTATGTTGAAAAATAAAATACTTTTTTTAATCTAATAGTTCTGTTTCATATTGATTATCATTACTTATTGATCGCCCCTCGTATACACGGTGTAAGGGACATCGTAATGAATACTGAAAAAGGGTATTCAGACCATCATTTTGAGTCAAAAATCATTAGAATTTTGTGCCGGAAAAACTAAACTTTTTATGCAATCAGCTGTCAAAGGTAAAGGTAATTCTCCGTAGATATCGCCCAAAAGTAATAACTACATGTGTATTCCGTGCATACAGTACGCACACTAACACAAGTTGGCGGCCGGAGGGGAAGCCCCGCGCGCTTCGAATGTTCGATTAATTACATTGCAGTTTTTCACCGTATGCGGTAATTATTATTTTGTTTTCGATGAAATGTTCCGTTTACTCATTGTGATATTGACATTTTAACCGAAAAAAACATTAAAAATTATAATATATGAATTTTCCGGTAGTTACGATGTCCCTTACACCCTGTATGTATTCAAAAATATATAAACATGTTTATCAGTAGTCTGGTGACAGGCTCTGCCTTGTTTGGTATCAGACAGCTGTGTGTAAGATTTGTGAATTATTATAAAATAAATGTTACCATAAGAAGAAATGTGGATATACCGAACTAACATATCTTTTTACATTTAATAAATGTTTTGTCGTTTTTCTTCAAAGAAACCATGAATAACCTAAATCTTAAAATATAATAAATAATAAATGCTAAAATTAAATTAAACAAATATACAATTCGTAATATGCACTTACCAACACAACAAAAATATTCCCTAAAAATCCTTATAAAATAAGCAAGCATTAAACATTAGGTGTAAAGTGGGTGTAGCGAGTTGACGGGTGCTGCACCACAGTCAATGACGTAGTAAGCTTGTCAGACGACATGTGGCGTAGACAGTTACCTGTCCACGGTGAAGACAGATGTCATAGAAGTGTAAAACAAACGAGATTTATCACAGGTATTCCACACCTCGTAGGGGCAGAAACTAACATAATGCCAATTCGGCTAAACAGACGCCGGTGAACGTAACGGAAACTATACACAGGCACGCTGTAAGAGGCCAAGAAAGTTCGGTGTTACCACCGGAAGGAAACATTCAGGATTCCTTACCTCTCCTTGACAGGTTTAGCCTTTGAATCGGCCTCCTTTTTCGGGGAACTCTTGTTTTGTTGCCTTTGCCCATCATTGGGCCTGAACGGTTTACGATTGTTGTTGATACGCTCACCGGAGCGATTGTAATTTCCCGTACGCCGGAAATTACCTTGATTGCCCATCTAAAGGGAATTGATCAGAACATGTTTGGTTAGTATGAAAGTTGCCAGGCTCTCAGAGCCACGAAGAGGCGCTGAAATTGTAAATACTTGAGATTTTGGATTAAAAATATGATTATGTTTCATCTAAAACTGCAGATTATGACATCCAATGTAAAAAAAAGCTTCAGCAGATTATATATTCATGCATGAAATTATTGACAGTTTGCAAAGTTAATATTTAAAATTGGGAGAAATCATCAGACTCTCATGGGATATTACGACTATAATTGAGTTGGTATTTACACGAAATACATTGAAATTTGGACAAAAATTACTTGTTTCACTGTAACCTCATAATGTTAATTATCTAGTTTTAAAATAATATTAAACACTTACCCTGTTTGGCACATAACCACGGTCATACCGACCTACGTTGGGACCGAAGTCACGCCTAATAGGCATGTCGAGGAGTGAGGGGACAGGATTCTGCCGTGGTTGCAAGAGGTTGATGATGTTGCTCGCCAGGGCAAGGGTCGCCTCCGTGGAGCCACCGGAGATCGGCAGTAGATTTGGGAGACCACCGCCAGGGCCTCCACCCTGCCAGGGCGAGACGCTGTTACGTCCAAAGTTTTTGCCCCGGTCGTTACGACCGAAGTCCATACGACGCCCGCCGCCATTCTGAGGTCTTCGATTTGCCATTTCAACCTAAGAAACAGATACTGGTAATTAAAATTGGTTATGTAATAATTATTAGTCTCCGAAAAAAAAAAACTTTTATAGCTTTACATCATTTGTAAAATCAATGCTCCCATGCCAAAATTGTGGAACAATAGCCCAATGTTCACACACTGTCTAGAATACGGTAGCGGCGCAGAAAGTATTTCTTACATTGACGTTATTGTCCTGTCTCTGAATCTCGAACGTAAATCGTGCTCGCATCGATGCGATGACCATTGTGTGTAGAGATTCTAAACCTTAAATAACCAAAAGGGTACATGGCTGTATTTGGTTTGCCGTGCCATTGCTGTTCAAAATTATAACTATAAGAACAAAACTAAATTTTTACATTATTTTGAATCTATTCTGAAATACGTAATTCTAAAATAATCATTTTATTTTATTTCATAAACAATTATTACAAGTAATTTTACTTAAAAGTAGTTTTAATTAGTATAACACGTTAAGGACCATACTGTATTATATGGCGTCAGTGTTGACTTTGTGTATACCTAAACAAAGTATATTTGTATAAACTTAACATAATATTAAAGTAACTACCTAATACACGAATATAAATTAAATTACACATATTCTGTATATTTTATATATTCTGCAAATTTTATAAAGTTGCACTGGTAAAATAATTTTTGACCTCTAGCAGTAGGCACATTATACGATATACTTTTTGCTTCATGACCGCACTATAGTATTAGCACCTATGTCACAGTTCATTGTGCCATTGAGCACAGATGTTAACTGAATTTCAGTCAATAGTCAGTTTCAGTAAAAGTATGCAACTCTAGAATGCTAGAGCTATATCCCTTTCCTAACATTGATAAAAGTGGGGGTTTAATATACCTTTCTACTGCCAACCCTTTAGGGATATTGTTGTGTTTATGTATGTTTACAACCTAATTTTTTAACCCCCGACGCGAAAACGACGAGGTGTTGTAAGTTTGTTATAAGATGGTTCGTGTTCTGTGTGTATGTGTGTGACCTGTGCGATACCACACCGCTACCGAACGGATGAATAGATTTTGATTTTGTTTGAAAGTTAAATTATTCGAGTGTTCTTTTAGCTGTTTGATGAAAATCGGTCCAAGATGGCCGCCGCCACAAAATGGCGGATTCCATATTTTTTTACAACCTCAATATGGGTATCAAATTAAAGGACTTGAACCGTAGAATACCATACACTATTACATGACAAATTTCCAATCCAAGAAGAGTGTCGGGTTTTAAAAAATATATATTTATGTTTTATAGTTTTTTTGTGTATTGTAAGAGGTACAAAGTAAAAGATAGATTAAATATGAATAAGGCGAGTAACTGGAACCTAATAAACAGGTTCACGACAGCCTAGTGCAAGTTTATTTCACATCGAATTGGCCCTCGACAGCGAGGGCCTTCGGCGTTGCGATTGATGAAGATTTCAGTGCAGGCCAATCGCGATCACCGTGGCAATCAAGTAGATGTGAAATAAACTCGCACTTGGGCTTCACAGTCCGAGGGTTGGGTCATAAAGTGAGAAGATGGAAAGACAAGTTCATAATTAGATTAGACTCCCTTTGGCTAAGAATGGCAGATAGCAAGCAGTGGAAGGCACTAGAGAGAGACCTATGCTGCAAGGCAAATGCAATATGCAGGTCGGGAATAAAAAGGCTTTATGTTCATTATAACATAAAAGCGCTTCCACAAATTTGTCAACAATACAATAGATTGCCTGAAATGACTGAAAGCCATTGAAACAAGCCTAAGATGTCAAAGGATAAACCTACAAAGAAATTAGTTATGTATCAGTATAAATCCCATGTGGAAAGGTCTTAAAAAATTAGCTAAAAGCTTATTTTATTTACATATTTTTTTATCTACTGTTAAGTTTTAGTTATTTGGCAATGTTAAGCTTTTTACTCCAGCCAAGACAGTTACATGTGCATTTTATATAGGCATCACTGTGGGTTATGTTCGTTTCTATAGAGTGAAACACCATGGATTATGCATACAGATTTTTTATTCACCTCTTATGCAAGAATGCAGTTTTTAAATACAACCAATTTTGACAGTGAGAGATCCAGGATTTGCATACATGGAGGTGCTCAACTGGAAAGATACAAAGTTTAACAGAAATCTGTTGTTAAGCAAGTTCTTCGCCAAGTGAGCGAGATTACCGAGGGCCAAGTGAGTTTATTTAACATCAACTCTCTTGTCACAGTGACCGTGTACGGCGTTGCGATTGGCCCGCATTGAAATCTCCATCAAACACAATGCTAAAATAAACTTGAACTCAGCCCTCTGAAAGCCTAACTTCTCCCCCTAATCCTAGGTGGGCAGAGGACTTAAACAGTGACAAAGCACTTGTGTATCATTGCCTTTTCAGCTTTGAGTCTTTAATAAAGGACATACTAGCACACATCAAAACAATGTTGTGATATATTTAATGATGCCATTGTATCTACCTGTTATTTGGGTGACCGTGAGTTTGTTTGTCTCTTCTTCTCATATGGCTCGACCTCGAAACGCCTGGTTCTAGATAGGCACAGGCATATAGTTATGCCTGTGCCTATCTAGAACCACGAACATGAAAAGAAGAGGGAAACAAATTCACGGCCACTCTTTTTTAATTAACAGGTAGATACAATGACATCATTAAATATACCACAACATTAAATAGATATTCGATATCTTTATATATATTTTGCAAGATATTTGAAAAAACAGAGATCTTTGTTATTGTGTGTTGATCTATGACTTCAGCGTCTACATAAAAGACGACTTTATACAATTTCTTGAAATAAAGATAAAATTTGAGTTTATCTTAAGTTAGTTAGGAACAGCAGTAGTCTCTATCTGGTGATCTGGACCTCAATTCTGTTATGTTAAAATTGTATCAATAGACTGTCGATAGACTGTTGTCAGAATAGTTTTGGCTTTTCATATTCTACTAACTATGAAAGACCAATGCCTTCCAGATGACTTGTCAGTGAACTGGCACTGATACAAATGTTGTCGACGTCTTTGTAATAGTTTGGTAAACAGTACATTTTAAATTTGTAAGGAAACTATATATTTAACTTACAATTTCTATGTAATATGCTGAGAAAACCATTTAAGTATGATTTATGTGTGCATACACATAAATCATACAATTAAAGAATAAAGGTCCTAGGCATAACAATTCCTTGAAGCACTGAAAAAATTGTACATTTTAATAAGCACTGCCATTTTGAAATACATAATTGCATTACAGAAAACCACAGAAGTTGCTAGTTGTTTGAGTATTGTGTTAAAATGCAGTAGACTACAGTTCATATAAACTTCAAAAATTTGCACGCCTACTTTGTTAAATGTTGAAAAAGTAGCAATACTGTTGTTATCATATTTTTTTTAATTCTATTTATCAAATCAAATTATCAGTTACTGTAGGATTGCTAACAAATTATCTGTATAACTGCAACCATGTTTATTGATCTTAGTAAACGAAAGAAAAAATTACATGAGTAAGCCGGCAAAGATGGCTTTGATATTGATTTTTGATGATTCTACATCGGCTTCCAAATTATAGGCTAACAAAATTAATTAACAAAAATACCTTACTTTCCTTAAATATAAAGAGAAAACTTAAAGGCTACAAAAGCGGTGCTTACGTAGCGGTGTTTCAGTAGGTATTGATCGTCGACTTACAAAAAGAACACGGGTCAGACGGCTAGCACAAAATTTACAAAATGATACATAGCGATAATGCAATACTTACCAGAAGAATAACTGTGCACTATTTGTTCACAAGCACTTCAAGTACAATTAAATGTTAAATTAAAACTTGGATAGATGAACTTGCAGTAAAATTTGAAGAAAGCAGGCAAACCAAACGAACTCAAACGTCAAAGTAATGAAAATGGCCGCAAGCTACGCTTTTCGGCTATTCTTCGATTCGGCTTGGCATTGCCATAGACAATAAAGTGTGGCAATGGTAGTTCTTCAAAAATTACTAATAAGTAAAAATTATAATTTAGTGTGTTGTGTAAGTATAAAGTCTGTGAGTTTTACTAACAAAATAATATAATAGTTGTTTAGTAATTTGGATACTTTTTTATTTTTTGACAAACCTAGCTCAATGCAATATAACAACGTGTTACTCTTCCTAAATAAAACAGTAAGGTGTACAGGTTTAGGTTTTTAAGTTCTATCTAAGTGAAATTAAAACATCTCATCCTACAATACTTGTTGTTTGTAATTTTTAATTGTAATGTTTTATTGTGTATGTTAAAATTATATTACTGTTGATTTAAGTCTTTGTGTATTTTATTTTGTATATTTACAGACAGTGTAGTATAGATATAAGCAATTAGGTTGTAAATACTGTATGCTTATATTTTATAAACTAGCGGACCCGCGCAACTTCGTCTGCGTCTCTCAATAGTAATAAATTTTCTCCGTTTTTGAAACATTCTTCATTGGTGCTCCGCTGCTATTGGTCTTAGCTTAATGATATATAGCCTATAGCCTTCCTCGATAAATTGGCTATCTAACACTGAAAGAATTTTTCAAATCGGACCAGTAGTTCCTGAGATTAGCTCGTTCAAACAAACAAACTCTTCAGCTTATAATATTAGTATAGATAAATAAATATGAGATAGGAGAAAACAACCGTAGGTGTCACCAATGGCACTTACTAATGGTGACACTTACGCTTGCTTTCTCCGTTGTGTTCTCACAAATGCGTTGACGCCCTTTGAGTCCCTACCTCGAAATAGGGGAAGGGAGGATTAGGGCTTTAGTAACTTTCCTAGCTGGTACGTACAGTCAGCTCTAGAACATGATACATCTATATTTTCAACACTCATTCACATCAAATCACACATAACCGGCCAAAAAAATTGAGCTGTCCTCCATAAGCGCAGGCCTGAGGGTGACAGGTGAGGCCAACTGTGACTCTAGCAGAAGCAGGCCAGGGTGGGTGGTGGCGCGACGCACTACGAAGCGCGCCCCCCCTTCGGGGGTAGGAAGGGAAAATCCGGGCTCCCACACAGGAGGGGTCTTATATAAGCCGTAGATGGCCCGAGGTACGTCGGGATACCAGGACTTTCCGTTCCCCGTATACCTGGTTCCCCGGCTACTAGTATCCGGAGCCGGCGTGCGGTTTTTGGTCGGTTCGAGTCCGATATAATTGTTTCGGTTTACTGTTTGAAACAGGACCAGATGAGGATTTTGTTTGGGATATATTTTATGGTTTAAATACAATGTACATTTTAAAGTGTTAGAAATAATAAAGTTTCAAATTACTTTGTTCAATAATTTATTATTGTCACATCGTCTCCATAAGACATAGTTCTTAACAGAAACACCGACACATGAAACACTGATATACATACATGGATTAATCTACGACTTATTTTAAATGAAAATGTTTTGTAGTACATATTTCAATAGAAAGATTATAAAAATGAGCAAAATAAATGTACTGAAAATTGCATTTAAATTATTTTGTTATTTAAATTAAACCTGTACTGTTACTATCTGTACACTTGACAAATTTTATCAGTAAAATAATTTGAGCGAAAGAATTAACATGGTGTTTTAGAAAATCTTACTTTGGATGTTATTCTGTTATGTTTATTTATGGGTGTTATTGGTTTTTTTTTTGGTAGACTAGAAAACCAAGTATCCAACAGTATACTTTCCAACTTTTGAAATTTCGCGTTCCATGATATATAAGATTATTACTAACAAAGAACAAGAGCTTAAACACGGCCGCGTGTGACCACGATCAATGAACCGTTGTCGTAACGTCAGGCAGTTCAAAGGTTTGTACTACTACCAATCACGTTAAAGGTTTGTTAGTAATAATAATATAACCAATCTTCATCGATATGTGATATCTGTGATACCAATATCGACGAGAAATAGAACATCTATATCAGGTTTGGAACAATTTAATCTGACTAAAAGAAAACTGTTTAATATATTTTTCAATCTAAATTTTTTAGACTAAAGATCATAAGTTTGTAACAGATTTCAAATGCATCCTTAATGACAAAATTGATAGCTTTCCATGAAAGATGAATAATTTATTAATTTTGATCTATTTTTTGTTTGTCCGGTTCATTGCTAAGATTTTTTCTATGGTAAGCTGCACCAATTATTTATTTTAATGCATTTTCCTATCATCTTCATGGAAATCAACCAAGTACCAAATACGACCTGATTTTATAAAATGTATGTATAAAACTTTACAACTATAAAGCAATGTATATTTTTTTACATTATAATGAGCTAATAACTGCTTGCATTGGAATGTCTAAGTATGTTTCTTCTTAAACTATTTACAATATTATAATATTTAACTAAGCTTGTGAATAAATGGGACGAGACCCAATTATTAGTTAAGATAGTTTAGATTCAGAGCTTAGATCATTGGTATGTCTAAATAATTTAGTTTCTAGAGTGTGGTTGCTATAAATCACTGCCGAACGTTGCAAGTTCTTTACTATTTCACATATAAACACATTGAGAGATGCATATGTTAGTATCGATTCTGTGTCAAAATATTTGTTACCACGTTTTGGGATATTAATATCCGTTGAAAACAATTTACAGATGCACAAAATAAAATTATTTTTACTACACATTCACTATCTCAAGTCAGTTTAAAATATTATGATTGTTCTTATCCCATTTTTTCAATCACTAGATCCTAAACCAATACATCAAAAAGCCACGATTTATACATTCATAAACAAACACATGATTTAAATTTTCAACATGATTCAACACAGAAACAAAATATAAACATTATAAATAATAGAAATTGCAATATTATTATGCTAAAAATCCTGGTACAGTTCAAAATTAACCGAACATTGTTCGTATTGTAAAGCATATAATAAAATATTAAAAACATATAAAAAAAACTATTATATAGCAAAAAGTAAACATTATTTTACTAGTTCACTAGAAACCAATCGCGTTTTTTTTTTTAATTTTTTCAATATATTTTAAATTAAAAAACCTCTTTGGGAATGCAAACAGCATTTAACTTTAGCACAGCCACGATCACAAAAAAACATTTTAAATATTTTTAACTAACATGGTCACACTACATTGTCTATGGCAAGAAAGCTCCTCTACGGAAGCTTTAGCAAAAGCGAGAATAATCTACTCCTGTCAGTATATTGTGTATTACATTAACACAAGTTTAGTATAGAAATTAGGCTGTAAAATTGCCTTTGATGTTGGCTTATAACTAATATACATCTAAATATAAAACGATTGTTACAAATGGTGGACTTTGAATGGCTGAGTACCTATGTACTTAATAGTTGTTGTACAGTTTGGTCATTTTAGTAATTAAACTTAATTTTTTCTATTTTTATTTTGGTCAGAGAAACAAGAGAGAACTATCATCAGATATTGCATAGTTAGAGACAAAAATATTGAAAAGAAAATGGTTTTATTTTTAATTTTTTGGTTTTTTATCCCGAGAACTGCTTTTTTGCTTTTAAAGTAAAACCTATATTTCTTAAAAAATAGCCTTTGCTTTCGTTAAGTGAAAAAAAAAATACATTTAAATTACTTAAGATCGACTCACGTGTGAAATACCACGCCTATGTCATTTATAGATTCGACGTTCTCTAAGGTGTGTCTGAAGTAGCTTGTAGGGATGGCATAAAATCACATTCACATACCTGTGACTATTTACTAAACCACTGCGACATTTGACTGTAAGTGATTACTTTTTTTTAGATTGAGACCTAACGCAAGTCTGGCGTTAGCGTAATCATATTCATAAGTAGCAGTGATTTTGTAGATTAGTCACAGGCGTTATGCATGACTTTTAAACCATTTTATTTGTCACAAATGATTGTATTTTTATTCCATCCCTAGTAGCTTTTGTATGGTACAGCTCTCTTGTTTGGTTCGATATTTACAGTAAACATGACACGAGATGGTACAAACTCATGGTTTCATGTTTTATAATGCCTATGTCCAGCAGCGGACTGTTATAGGCTGTTGATGTGATGTGATGTGAATTATACAACCTATGTAAATAATCATAATTTAAATAGTGTATTCCATGATTAAGCGCCCTTACATTTTTAAGTGAAACTTTACTGTTAGTTGTCTTGTTTTTTTTTATGGTATAAGGGGGCAAACGAGCAGACGCGTCACCTGATGGTAAGCAACTACCGCCGCCCATGAACACCGGCAACTCAAAAGTCACAAGTGCGTTGCTGCCCTTGGAGTCCCTCCCGCTCGAGTCAGCGGGAAGGGGGATTTGGGCTCCGGTAACCTCACTCACTCAGTGAATGGCAACGAAAGAATTGCTTAACACCGGTTTTCTGTGAGGCCGTGGTATCACTCCGGTCGAGCCAGCCCATTCGTGCCGAAGCATGCTACGTAACATATCCCTATAGATTACTAATATGTAAATAAAAAGAAAGTAGTGCAAACAAAAAACTATCTTTTCTTTACAATCTTGACAGTCGAATGACAGTTTACGTCATGATGACGTTCTGTTTTTTTTTTTATTAGTCGAGCATTTCACACACCGTCTTAATTCCTAAAAATTCAACAGCACGCCTTAATACTAAACATCGTGTTCGTTTTTAGTGTAAGATATTTTTTGTCTTTATACGTCTTTATATATCTAAAACAATTTTTGTGTACATCATTGCAAAAAAGCCAACCGTATTACATCTTTACAAAATGCAAAATTTGGCTGTTTGCAATTACACACAATATCGTCAGAAAACACTTATCTACATAATGTATACCTACATATATACGTTTGGTAATTGAGTACATTCGATTTTTAAACATACAGCGTACATAGACATCAGACACATTTGCTGCCGTGCAATAGAACTCAAAGCAGTGGCGACTAAAAATGCAAATGTGTAGGAGGTCTGTGTCTAAATATACCTATACAGTGAACAGTTTAACATTTTGTGTATAACAGTCCGATCACATTTGATTATGATATCCAGAAAATTTACAAAAGTGGTCAATGAAGTAACAAAACACATTAGAACACATATTTTTCTCATATCTTTACCCCATCTCATTTATATTACGTAGAACTAGAGATCACCTGTTGGTAGAAAATATTTTTTACCCATTTACTACCAGTACTGTCATTGTTAGACTCCGTAACCATAGAGATGAGGAGAGAAGGTATTGGATTTCCTGTAAGCGGAATAGCAACGTCGGTAGAAAGAGAAAGTAGACGACGATCGCTGATTTGCTTCATTTGCTGTCGCTCCTTGCTCTCTCTCCTCTCTGCCCTCGCCTATTTCGGGCCAACAGATCAGCGAAGAGGTGAGAGAGAGATACATGTAAATCGTCGACTTCTTTCTCTTTGTACAAACGTCCCCGGATAGTGGCTCGCTTCTCTCCTCTATCTGTATTATCTCTATGACCGTAACAGGTCGACAAACACATGTAGTTTAATGTAGGTAATCGACTAATGTTTTTTTTATTAATTTTGGCTTTTTGCTCTTCTTTAGTATATAACACTTCAAATACTCCGAGTTTCAAATTTTCTTAAAAATACTGATAAAGAATCTTCTTTAAGCATTCAACTAAAGAATTAAAAATATTTTTTCTGTATTGGCAACATTTCAATATTCAAATGTGATGCGACCTCACCGATTTGCTGAGATATGTCGTCGGATGCCATCGTCTTCAGTGACTTCACTGAAACAGAAAAACCAAATCAATGAACCATTAAAGGACTTTAAAAATAAGTTTTACTTAGATAGTGAGCACTTAAAAAAAAGAATATTTCAATCATTTACCTTCGTTTTAGGTCTCAAAGACAATGTCAATTTCTGTACTAATAATGTTGCAGCATCTGAAAAAAGGAACAGTTTTTTTTATTCTGTTTGTAGTTGTCCCCGGACTGGTGGAGACATAAATTACCAGCAATTGTTATGTTTGCGGGTGGATAGAGCCTAAACTTAAAAGCGACACTGCGGGTAACTTTAGTGTTTACAAAAGGAGAGTTTGAGATAATTGATCGATGTTTGTAATAGAGATGGCGAAATGGTATATTATTTTACAAGATTTTGCCTTTGGCTACGCTCGCGTGTATCCACATCGGCTATTGCGGTAAAAAGTAGCCTATGTTACTGAATGAATACTATGGTAGAAGAATTTTTAAAATCGCTTTAGAGGTTTACGCGTCAAAGCGTAACAAACAAACTAATTTTCACATTAATAATATAAATTCTCGTTATTAAAGTGACATGTGAAATTACTAAAGAAACACCACGACTTTATGGAAATGCCTTTTAATCTTTTCCTGAGGCAGCACGGGCAAGAACTAGTCATTAATTAATAATAAGAAAACATAAAACCTTAAAAGACCTAAATCATCCACTTACTTGTAACAGAACTGAGGCATCCCATCTTCGTCCGGGGGTGAATTAGAACCAAGTAGACGGGTACAGCAGTGAGTATCATGAGACAACCCACTCCAGTCTCTTGCGGAGAAGCCCAGGCTGGGAACGCGACCACTAACAGCGTGCAGATTATGTAGATGACTGTAGGGTTAAAATATTACAGTCAGTTTGGAATAAACATTCAATTTTGTAGTTGGAATAATAATAACCTCAAACATCTCACACGCGGCTGTCTAATCCTAAACTAGGCAGAGCCTGTTCTATAACCAGACTGCTGATAAACATACTTATATATTTCTAAATACATACATATCAAACCCGTATCTACGATTTTTTTTAACCAGGGCAGAAACTTAATAATATCGACCCCTCTCTACCGTTTGAGATAAATAACTTTAAAAAACTCACAAATAAATTATGATAGTTAACCATTTTTCGTGAATGGGAGGTGTAACGATTTACTGTTTTTTTTTTTAAATGTGTATATGATCTGCTAATATTTGTTTCGGAGTTTGGGTGTTTTCTATACATAACATGTATGTATTTACAAAAAAAAGGAAATAAGTATTTTATCAGTCATTCTAGCTTTCATAGTACAAGCTTTGCTTGTGTCAGATATCCAAAATATTATTAGATTAAAAGTATTGTTGAAATTCTCACCAGGGAAAAATAGGTTTACTTTGATGGGCCTCTCTAGACCTGGCTGTGTATACCTCAGGACTGGAATGCAAAGAACTGCTGCACCGATGCTTAACTGTAATAAATATAATACGAATAGTAAGTATTAGAACATAACAAAAAAAGAGTATCTAAACATATATTCAAAACTTCGTCGTTGTTATTTCAGTCACAGGACGTAGGCGTCCATTACAGTTTTACAAAAAAATCGGTTGTCTGTAAAGTCGGTTTACTAACGATAGTTGAACGTGACAACGTCATAAGAAAATACTGATGGAATGGTTGCATTTTTCAAAAATGTATTATTGTATACGAGTAGCAGCTGTCCACGCGGACGCATCGCTCACTCAAGTAGGAGAGAGACAGATATCGAACGCTGCCGAACGCGGAGGCCGATTGTGCCTCTTTGTCGCTCGTTCCGCGCTCTCGCTTGCACTTCACGCCTTAAATGGAACGCCTCATAGCGAGATAACGCCGCATGAGTCATGTTTTTTCGTGCGTGCAGCCGGCTCCATCGAATTATAAGACGTTGTCACGTCAAAAATAATTTGTAAGTGGCGAGGTTTGTAAGGTAATTTGTCTACCTCCTTGATGCTAAGCTGCATTATTCGGTCTGTGTCTCTTTTCAGTTCTCGATCCCGCATCCCGTGTTTAATATTTTTTTAACATCATCTGTCTATCACAGTCCACTGCTGGACATAGGCCTCTCCCATTGCACGCCATTTAAATCGATTTTGCGGCATCTCGCATCCATTCTATTCCCGTATCCTTATATTTTGGTTTCACTTAATTTACGTATATTTCTGTGTATGATGTTAAAGTATATTTCTCTGTTTGTTAACCGTTTTTGATGTGTTACATCTTTCCTCTCCTTTTGCTAAAATCTGTTGGAGTGATTTTGTGAAATGGGACGGAAGTATGTAACAGGAAGCTGGTAAAGCGTGCGCTATTAAATTTTAGTTCTAGAGTTTACTGTTAGATGTCACACAATAACAACTACAGTGGGGCTCGATCATTTTTATGTTATCAATCAAATATTAAATAAAAAAATTGGCAAAGTTTTTACTATCATCGAAATTAAGAAACAGTCTTTTGACTTCAGGCCGATTGAATTTAAAAATTTCAGCAATGATCTATATTAAATAACATTTAATTATTATTAATCCTATCACAAAAATGGGTACACAACAGAAATACGAAAAACTTTATTTCGTCAGTCAAAAATACTGATTCCGAATCCGATTTATCATTCATCCTATTTTTATAATTCAAAAATTTCAATATTCCTAACGGTTATAATTACTATGCTCAAAATACCGACTTTTAATAGATCGAAAAACAAAAAGTCCGACTTAATGATAATTCGAAACATCAAAAATTATAATGCTGATTATTAAAATACAATGATAGTTAACTTTGACTAAAAATATTTTCTTGTGAATAAAAATGTTTTCCTTCGCTCTTCACAATTCTAACCTAACTCAAATGGTTTACCAACAATAAATAGAGGGGATCTGGCGTTAATCACCCAAAGAATATTAAATAACATTAAACGTTGCTTATAGGTTTTGAATATATTTGCGTAACTGAATATTGATATAACTAACTGAATCAGAATCCTCATTTTAGCAGTTTATTCTAAGTATTGAAAATCGGAATGTGGTTTTTCGGACCGAGAAGCCAAGGAGCATTTGATTCTTTGAACGTATAAAAATCGCATTTATGACTTTCGGTACAATAAATTTCGTGAATTTTAATAATAGATATTTTAATTCTTAGGTATTATGAAATTCGGACTTTTGAAAATCGGAACATCAATCAATCAATCAACAACAACAATTCATTAAAAATGAGATAAAGGCATAGTTGTGAAGTAGCGGTAAAACATCATACCCAGGTAGCAAATCCCACGTAGTTGATGAGCGCGAATATGTCGGAGACGGTGAGGTAGAGCAGGCTGAGCAGCGCCACGGCGAGCACGGCGGGCGCGGGCGTGGCGCGCGCGCTCACCATCGTCAGCATCACCGGCATCTGGCCCTTCGCCGCTCCCGCGTAGAACAGCCTGATAACACACACTTACATATTTAAACTGCATTTAAATTAAATATCGACAAAGACTATTTCGAAGCTTTCACCAAAACTACCCTTACTATACGATCTTTAGAGATTTTCCAAAAAAAAAACTCGGGAGTGTTATTAAAATGTGATGAAAAAAGTTTACGTAAAAAGTTGACGAATACAGGAGTAGACGACGATTAAAGAAAAGATGGATGAGATGTAAGCAGTAAACTGGCAAGTGATACATGAGAATGAACACTCATTACGCCAGCTTGGGGCTTTTTTTTTCTTACATTTTAAAAGACAACTCCCGCATTAGGAATATATCCTGTGTCGCGGGGGACTTAACAAATATACATGAAACGGACACAAAGCAACTCTCAGAAAAACAATTTGTGGATAACACAAAGTGTCGTCCCATGTGGGGTTTGAACCCACAACACTGAGCGCAGTAGGCAGCAGCGAGGCGACCGCTTAAACCACTACGCCATCCGTGCAGTCACTATGGTAACCAGACTGCTGATAAACATACTGATATATTTTTAAATACATACATATTACAGATAAATTAATTGATTAATAATTATTATTAAACTAATTATTATTATGTACCGCCACAGTTATTACGATTACTTTTTCACATTAAAAAATGGTTCTCCTAACCGTAGCTTCGAATGCAGACGTGTGATTAGGAACATAGCTATAATCTAAGCAGTTTTGAAATAATTGAGTAAATAAAACTAAATTCAAGAAATTTCGACACTGAATAAATTAACCTTTTTACATTAATTACAGTTCAGGTCTATAAAAGCTTCTATAATTACTTAAACTTGAGAAATATCAGAAACGAAATTGGGATAAATAATTTCAGTATAGTAACAATAATCAATGTTGACCTTGAACTTTAGAATTTATATTTTAAACATCAATTATTATATTATTTTGACAGACCTTGGCAGAAAAATATAAACATACAAAATAGGCAAACACGTAAAGATTTATCTGATTCATGTTTTAATACCGTGTAATCGCTTTATTTATCAAACATTTTATTTTTCACGATTTCCTTTATCACTGTATTCACTTGCATAATATAAGAGGTTACGACGTCATAGTCCGGTTTTGTCAAATCACTTTCAATATTTTGTTTTATATGTGAATAATAAAAATTAATTAAATTTTTAAATAATTTGCACCTATATACAAATATCGCACCTATATTTAAAATTAAATGCATTATTCTTGTTAAAGAGCGCTTACAAAGAAAGATGTTGCGTGTGAATATAGTAGCCCCCTAAAACAAAACAAAAGTAAAAGACATTTGTCAGTAAATTTCCAAAAACTTACCTTGAAGAAGTGAGCAGCACTCCATTGACTGCACCGAAGGTGGATGCGGCCACAAACAGTGGGATGGCGAGCGCGAACATACCGAACAGACGCTCCGCGAAGGTCACAGCCACTGCAGCTGAGCCCAACACCTGGAGAGAAAAGCGAGTAAAAGCACGTCACTTTAGTTATTTTTAGTTTATATTAAGTTTATCTATTAGTCTTGTTAAACGTTGTTAATAATATAATATTTTGAAGGGGCTCGTGGCTAAGTGGCAATCGAGTAGGTTAGCACAATGCAAAAATTAAGGATTCTAGCCAAGTCAGTCTATGGATGGGTGAACATTCTCAACACATTGAGACCCCTTATTGTATCATTTTTTTATATGTTGTTATTAGTTTTAACTCTAATGTCCTTAGTGCTAGTGACATTAAAAATATTCACAAGTAACGTAACGCCTACGAGATAATGGGCGATAAATTCATTACAATATTAATTCTACCGTAATACCGGCTGTACTGAAGCAATTTGCAGCCTTCAAATGCAATATGATAATTGCTAGCTACAATCTAGTATGAACATTATTCTCACTCAGTCATGAAATAAAGAATAATAGGTAAACATAACAAAAATGTTTTAATAACCCGACTGCTCATAGAAGTAAATTTTCCAGTGCCTGTGTTTATTTTATTACATTACAGCTTTTAAATGATTGAGCAGATTTCTATGTATTCGATGCCGTCAGAATCCTTCTATAAGCTACACTGCCTATATTTTTTAATTGAAAATATAAAACAATATTGCCATGTTGTGTATTTTTTGCCAGTTGCATGGCACGTACATTTTTTTTGGCGTATCAGTTGGGTTTGTATTTTTGTAATAATAGTTACCTTTCTTGCAATATTCACTTAAATTGGTGAAAAAAATTAAACAATACTAATGTACCTGTTTTTTGTATAGTAAAAATATCTAGGCGTAATTTGGGTCAACTAAGGTGTCTTGTGACTATTATTACAATATTAGGATCTGCATTACATGCTACATATACTAACACAATATAGCGTTAGCCAACAGCCGGTCTGACATTCTGCATTAAATGTTTCACATGAAAATAGTTGAACTGAGAACCTCTTAGTTTTTTTGAAGTCGATTTATACTGGGTCAAATTCCTGTTTAAGATTTATGAAGGTCGATCGAATATTCTAAATTTTCAGGGATAACGACTTACCTCAGTAGGTGACAGCGTAGTGTAGAAAGCGACATTGGTGAAAGTGTAGACCACGGTGACCAGGGTACACGAGATAGCGATGGCACGAGGCAAATTCTTTACTGGATCTTTTAATTCTTCGATAATGAAATTGAGGTAATTCCTGAAGAAATGAAATAATATTTGTTTTGAAAACCTGAAAGCTTGTTTGTCTGGATGTTTAGATATTTGTTACTTAATCACATAAAACCAGCGAACGCATTTGGATGAAATTTCACACATGTAGTTTAATTCACATTCTATGTAGTCAGTTAATTTCAAGATATAGCTTATTCAAAATTTATAAAAAGAAACGAACTCTTTGTTACTGTTGTCTGAACAGTGTCTTGTGGAACATTATGTCGGTATAAAAAGTATTCTCCTTTTTTTTCTATATGCAGTAAACGCGGATGAAGTCACAGGCAGAAGCTAGTGATTAAAAAAAAACTTTATACATCTCACACGCGGACGTCTGATCCTAAATAAGCAGGGCCTATATTTTGGTAACCAGACTGCTTATATACATACCTATATTTATAATTAACTTCATCTCTAATTACATACCTATTGTTATAGATAAATTTCAACCAGACATAGAACAAATGAATGTAACCCACGACTGCTGGTTCAGCAGTTACAATCATTAGCCAAAAGAATTTCTAGCTTTTACTTAGCTGAAGACTTTGTCATTCTCCTTTCATTTTATCATCTTTTATCGTTATGATGTCGAAAGGACAAAGCTGTGTAGTGACGGATTCAGTATATGGAGTGTCACCAACCCTATTCATTCCGTGGGTTTCGTAAGAGCCGACTAAGGGAGCAAACTACGCAGGGCAACAGTAGTACAAACAGAGGGAAAACTTGACACAGACCCCATACCAACCCGATGGGCCAGCGTGGTATAATAGGCCAAAACCTCCTTTCTAAGGAGAACTCCAGCAGTGGCCTGTTAAAGGCTGTTGCTGATTGTTCCGGATTGTGTGACTACTTTTGGGATGTGAAAAAACCTATGAGTCAGTGGATTGTACTAATAAAAAGTGGTTATGTGTTCCAAGTTACATGAGTCACCATAGCCATTGAAATTGAGTGAGCCTTTCTTTTAGGGGTTTTTTTATCCACAAGGATACGCCGATCCCATCGTTCCCTATCGTAAACATAAGAACAAAATCTTAATATTTTCCAGATAAAAGGGAATTCAATAATGAGTCATGACATGACAAGTTCTAATATAAATAACACAATAGCCTGCCAGGAAATGGCTTAAGATGTTGCTGAGGGACAAGGGTTGCGATGTAACGTATACTACAAAAAGTCCAGATTGGGACAATTGTTAGGAGGTTGTAAACAGCACGAAACCAGTAAGAGCAGAGTCTCAGCAGTGGTGCTGGGCTTGATTGATGCGTCATTATTTTCTTAACGGCAATGGACCATAGTTCTCTTTTAAATGAACTGCCCGATAAGCTATAGTTATTGTTTATAAAAGATCACAGTTTTAAAGTTTATTTAAAAAACACTATGTTAGTTAAACATAAAATGATAAAAAAGTGTAATACACGTAAAGTAACTGCTGTAGTGTAAACACAGAGACCCAATGAGGTCTTTTTTTACGTTAGAGCGGGCGGACTAGCAGACGGGTCACCTGATGGAAAGTGACTATCGCCGCCCATGAACGTCTGCAACTCAGGAGTCATAAACGCGTTGCCGGCCTTTTAGAAAGGAGCACGCTCTTTTCTTGAAAGTTCGAAGGTCGAAGCGGTCTGGAAATACCGCAGACAATAACTTATTCCACAGATTGTGAGAGGCAAAAAGTGTCTCGAAAAGCGCACAGTAGTGAAGCGCCAATTATTCAAGTGGTGGGGATGAAAATATTGCCGAGTGGAAGATGTATATTGGAAACAATAATAAGAAAAGTTTTTTTTTGTACATGGAACTCGTCACATACAATTTATTGCTGATTTGTATAAAATTTGGTCAACTAAAACTATTTATGTGTATACTTATCATCTAATAGGTTGATAAGAATGTATTGGATGACATAACATTGTTGTGTTTGTGTGTGTGTACCTACTTATTATTTCGATTTATTTAACACTTTTGACTCCACTGATATACAGTGAAACTCGAAGGAGCTAATATAGCATATTTATAAAATTACTCTGGTATGTCTATGTTTTTTTGAATGAAATAGAGGAGCAAACCAGCAGACGGGTCACTTGATGGCAAGTGATTATCGCCGCCCATCTGCAAGTCAAAAGTCACAAGGGCGTTGTCTTTGAGTCCCTCCCCCCAGAATCAGGGTGAGGGGGTTTTAGCTTCGGTAACCTCACTGACTTGGGTAGAGCACCGAAAAACTACATGACTCCCACGTTGAAATTTCACGTTAAAAATGAAACAAAAAAAATATGACTTACCATCCGTTATAAGCAAATAATCCGGAGTAAAATGAGAGTGCTATTGATGTTACATTATCCGTTGTGCCCTCGAACGTGAAGTGTTGTACCTCTCCTGGAACATGATAAAAGTAATTATTAAGATAGTGGCTCATAAAAAATGCGAAAACACGATTGCATATAAAGCTAGCTACAACGATGGAAATCCAATCAAATATGATTTTATATCTATATGATTTTATAGTTAAGTAATATATTATGTTGTGCTTTTTGAGTATATGGTCATTTAAATATTAGGTAACCGTCGAAGGAGGGTGGGTGGTGGTCTTTTGGTTTTTGTTTTGTTTTTTTGGGGAGGCCCTCGTCCCCCTTAAATAAACAGAATAAAATAGGTATACGTCAAGAGTAATATTTTTTGCCGTATTTTTTTGTAAATTGGCGTATTTATTTTGAATTGAACATAAATGGTGTATTTTTTGTGATGAAAAGAATGGAGGCTGCTAGTAGATCCTTTTTATGTTAATAGGATTTGCTGGATGATTACCTGTGTTATTTATAATAAATTCCTCCATCAGTTATTTCTCATTTTAGATCTGTTATAAATAAATAAACAGATTTTTGAAAATAAACCAAAATCTTATGTAAAGAAGGGGGATTAAAGCTACGTTTACTTCTGTTGACAGTGGGTGGGAGGGCTCAAGAGTATCAGTCTTGTGTACGTAACTGAAAGAGAGACTCTCACTCTACCACCAGTATCTTTTTAAACGTGCTGAAAGCTCCTCGGGCCCTTACCACACCGGGGTTTGCGGTGGGCGGTAACCACACGGTGTAGTTATTACGAGTATTAGCTATATGAATCCTTACTTAATCAGTATCAATCTCATTAAAATAATAATTAGTGGGTAATTGATATTTCTTTAGATGTAAGTAATATGATATTGAAAAAAGCTTTTTTATATGACTATCTTTTTATGGTATAGATGGCAAATGGGCAGTATGATTGTGATTCAAATCTCTACAATGAATTTAAGGCTAGACCGGAGTGATACCAGGGCCTCACAGAAAACAGATGTTGAGCAATTTTTTTAATTGCTTTTCGCCGAGTGAGTGAAGTCACCATAGGCCGTGTAGTCTCTCTCAAATAAATAAATACATAAATATTTCGGACATGTAACACACAACGCCATCTATTTTGAAACTATGCAGAGCTTGTACTATGAAAGTTAGATTGACTGATAGAATACTTATATACTTTTTTTTTTGTAAATACATACACACATATTATACATAAGTAGAAAACATACAAACTCCGAAAAAATATTTGCAGATCATACAACCCTTTGGGCCGACCCGGGAATCGAACTCGAGACCTCAGCACAACAGTCACCTACGCTACCTACTCCACTAACGAGGCAGTCAAAGGGCAACGCACGTGTGACTCTCGAGTTGCATGTGTCCATAGGTGGCGGTAACCACTTACCATCAGGTCACGTCTTTTTTTTATGGAATAGTGGGCAAAAGAGCAGACGGGTCACCACCACCCATGAACGCCTGCAACTCAGGAGTCACAAGCGCGTTGCCAGCCTTCTGCTCGTTTGACCCTATACCAAAAAAAAATCTCTATGATATTTCATTTTTATTAACAGGTCGTGAACTTTTAAGTGCATAATGCACAAATGGAAGTAATTCAGACATCCTTACATGTAGGCGTGACAATGCGCGCATTATTAAATGATTGCCACTCCGAGCTGGAGTGTCTGTGGTCCGTGTGAAAGGAACGGACTTGTGATAAGCATGTTGATGGCGGGTAACTTTGTTGTAACGAGGAAATGGCTGTTAGGATCTTTACGGAGCTCAAGGTCTCATGGACTTACTTCTTTAAATTATAGTTACGTATATTAAATTTCGTTTTTTTTATAGTATCTGTACTTGTGGTTGTTAATTATTCATATGTTATTAAAAATCTACTTAAAAATCGTATGGCCTATTGGTCAAAAAGTTAATAATACTGAATGCTAAGACAGAAAGTCGCATACGCTACCACTTTACTACCGAGGCAGTGATATTTGAAAAACTTTTCATAAATAGCAAGACAAATGCATTAAGCCGATTTCAATAGCCACAAGTGTATCGCAGCCTTTTGAGTCTAAAACTGGTAAACTATTAGGGGTTAAAGTATGAAATTGCGAATTGAAAAACTGAAAAATTAAAACTCGTTTTTTTTCTAAGGCGTAACATATTTATTAAATAAAAATATTTAAGCTCATTATCTATACATTGCTGCCATTTAAACGGAAGTTTATTTATGCCTTCACATTAGAACTCTGGGGATCTAGATTCGACAAACTGTGTGAAAGCAATTTGTACCGCCTCCTAAGAAGAAATGATTTTATCACGTAGAAAATTGTAGTGCGTTGGAGCAAGGTCTGGCGAGTACAGAGGATGTCGTATGGTTTCTAACTGCAGCTCCTGTAGAGTTACAACGGTTTCTCATGCAGTGTGAGGTCTTGCGTTATCATGGAGCAATAATGGTAAACATCGATTAACGAGTCGGGGCTGTTTCACTGCCAATTTCGTATCATTGTTTGAAGTTCGGCACAGTAAACATCTGCTGTTATTGCCTGACTAGACCTGAGAAAGCTATAGTGAATAACCATGAAGATACCACCAAACAGTTACCATTGCCTTTTTATTGGTAAGCTTTGCTTTAGGGCACTGTTGCGGCGTTTGACCTGGGGTCAGCCATTGCATTTTTCGCTCACGGTTATCTTAAATAATCCAATTTCGTCACATTTCGATCCATTATTTCTTCATTTATGTACCCATTTTTCACCATCTATTTTTCAATTTTTTTTATCTTATATGAGTCAATATTGTGGGTAGTTGTAACAGTAAACTAAACCTGGGTAGTTTGTGTCGGATCGGCTTCTACCATCTTCTTCAATATTCACCTGTGTGAGCGGTCTTACATGTGGTTAGTTCTTCAAGTCGAAGTTTCCATTACAAAAGCGTTTAAACCTAAAACGAACGATGCATTCATTAGCAGTCTCCTCACCAAACGCAGCGTTGATATTGCGAGCCGTTTCTGCCGCGTTAGTTCCGCGTCGGAACTCGTATAAAAAAATGACTCGGATTTTCGAAGTATCCATCTATCACGTCTAAGACGAATAAAACACAATTGAAAGTCAAAATTAAATGCCGCACATTTTTCAAAAGAAAGACCTCATGGGTATCATGTTTCTTTTTTCTTTTTTTTTTTTATGACGAGCAGACGGGTCAAAAAAAGTTTCACACGAAAATCTTACACAGTTAATTCAAAGTTTCTATTACTATACAACAGCAATTTCATACTTTAATCCATATTATTTAGTTCTAAATGGAACTAGGTTACAATGAAGTCATGCGACAGGTTTCTTAGTATTATGCTTTCCTGGCTTCATAGAAAGCTATTAATTGCAAACAAGGCATGAATAGATTTTATGAAAATTTATAAACTTTAAATTTTGCTATTTCAACTGCTGTTTTTATTACATAGTTTTTTTTTATTTTAATTTGTTAGAGGGGGCAGAAGAGCAGACGGATCACCTGATGGAAAGTGACCACCGCCGCCCATGAACGTCTGCAACTCAGGAGTCACAAACGCGTTGCCGGCCTTTTATTTTTGCCTTTTTTTATACTTTCAAGTTTTCTTTTTTTCTCACCAATTAACAGTTACAGGTATTCAATTATACCGTTCAACATTATAATTTACAATGTATGAGAACATCCGGAACATGTTTTATATTAGCGAACTATCAGAAGGTTATAAAGGTCGGTAATAAATATATGAATACGTTAAAAACTTGTTAAAATAAACTTGTTTACTATATAAACATATTATTTTGCCCCCTAGCTTCACTCTCGTAAGTTATTTTCACCTTTGTTCTTTTCTGTGTGAATTGACTAATAAAATCTAGGTGATTAATAAGACTATTGAGGATATTATGGTAATTAATAATCGTTTCCCCTTATAGGTTACACCTGGTTCCTCTGCTATTAGTATCCATGACCGCGTGCGTTTTCAGTCGGTTCGAGTCCGACATTACCACCCCACCGGCCGTCCGCTGGGAGGTATCCGAAGGCGGACTCCCGAAGAAAATGGTTAAAACAACATCTCTCGCTATCACTCTCGCTTCTCTAAATTTGATTTTAAAAACATTTCTGTATGATGACATATCTTTAGTTAACGGTTTTACTCGTAGTAAGCTAGTGTTGTCAAGAAGAAAACCTAAAAATATTCATCTATATGTGTATTGTTCTAAATTATTGTGTCTCTGTTTGTTTCCGTAAAAGGGTATTCAGAAGTTCATGACGGTCGTTACAGTACTTAAGGCGTACAATCGTAATAACAAACAAATAAACAAATTCACTTTGGCATTTATACCAGTAGTAGAATTGACATTGGCATGTGACGTCGCGTCGCGCAGTTGGGAAGTGAAACGTAAAGAATGCTATTCATGGACAGAATTGACAATTAGCATGGTGGGATCCAAAAATTTTACTCGAGAGCCCCTGGGGGGAGGAGGCGTGATTTCTCTCTCTCTCTCTCTGTGTGATCTACTTGAAGTTATACGAACTATACCCAGCCCTAGGAGAGCTCATAACCCCCATGATCCCTTTCAGGATCCGCCCCTTGACGAATTATAACTTCACACATACACTTTACACGGCCGTCTAATCTCAAACCAGGTAGAGCCTGTGCTATGGTAACCAGACTGCTAATCATAGGCTGCTAGACATAGGCCTCTCCTTAGAAAGGAGGTTTTGGCCTACTATTATTTTTGTATATGTATTTTTTAATACATACATATCATAGATAAACATTCAGACAGAACAAATGATCATGGTCGGAATTGTAAAGTGTATGAGAAAAGTATCATAAATAAAAATTTAGATACCTAAACCTAACGAAGGGGTTTATTTTTAAATCTTACAATTACACATATTTGCTGTAGGTGTCTGTAAGATTAGTTTACTTCTTCATACTTCTGTCAGTAAAACGCTGTACAGTTCTTTTCGAGAGTATGTTATGTTTGGTTTAAGTGTGAGTTTTAATATTTCATTTACAACGTATTA